CAGCGAGGAGGGCGTCCAGCGTGGGGTCCACGCGGTACTCGCCGAGGTAGTGGATGTCGTTCTCGGGGCGCTGGTGGAGGTCGTGGGCGGCGGCGTCTCCCGTGACGTAGATGCTGAGGTGCGTGGGCGTCGCCGCGAGGCCACCGTCGGTAGCGAGCTTGCCGAGGGCGGCACGGTAGTGATCGGCTGCGGGTCGTACGCTCGGGAACGCCAAGTAGTTACGTTTCTTGGGGCCAGCCTTGGCGCCTGCACGGAGTCGGCTGAGTTCGGCGACGCGGGAAAGGTCGCGGTGGTAGTGAGCGTCAGTGATCTGTTCGTCGAGGAAGTGGTGCCACCATGCACGTTTCCATTGTGCGTGTTCACGGAGTCGGCGCGTGATGAGCTTGAGGTGGTAGTCGTCGACCGCCATGCCTTTGTCTCGTAGTTGTGCGCGCTGGCGAAGAAGGTCTTGTCGTGCACGTTGAGCGTCTTTGAGCCAGGCTGGTTGATCTCCGTGGCGAGAGGAGTACGGGATCGCGGCTTGTTGAATCAGGTACGCAACGTAATCAGCGTGTCGGTTGGGGAGTTGGTCACGTTGGAGCACTCGGAGGGTGTGGGCGTGCTGGGTGAGCTGCTGGTGGAGGTCGTGGAGGAAGTCGGCGCGTCGACATCCCGTCTGGAGTCCTGCTGCTAATAGGGCCCAGTCCCAGCGTGGCGCATGATCTGTGGAGGAAGACGTCGGGCAGGTAAGCTGGACGTGGATGAGCATCGGGATGTGGTCGAGCATGTGGGGGCGGACACGCAGGCGTTGGTGAGAGCGCCAGCAAAGCTTGAGCTTCGTGATGATGGGGAACGCGTCGATCGGGCCGATCCAGTAGTCGATTCTGCTGCGAGCACCGCCGTTGCCGAAGAATGTCGGCCCAGTGTTCCAGAAGGAGTTGTACGCGCAGAGCTGGTGGAGAATGAGACTCTCGTGGATGGAAATGCCCACGATCGTTTCTGGGGCGGGCTGATGTGGTCCGATGCTGTCGTCGGTGCGTGCGGCTCGATGACGTCGTCCCATGCCTTGGTTGAGGTCGCCGAAGAAGGGTGGTGTCATGCTTGTCGGGGTCGAAGTAATCTCCGTTGTGATCCACTTCCAGAGTCGTGTACATACCCGGTCTGTGACCTTCGCATGTGAACTGTGTGGAACTGGTGGTAGATAGCCAGCGATCAGCCTGACGCGGAAATGACCTCGTACTAAATCGATCGAGCCTGCGCGGCCCTGTAGGTCGGGAGGCGGGGATGCGATTCTGACCACGTGCTTGGGAGAAAAGCGCCGCTTGGATATGGCGATGGAGCATCCACAGGCGGAGGTGACGTGAGGAGAACGGCCCCAGTCCCAATGGATCCAGAAATGATGTCGGGACTCTTCACGATGATGAGATAACTGCGCAATCTGTCGGATGTGTGTGCCAGGACATAAGATGCCGTACTCGTTGCGAAACTCGTGGCTGATGGAGTCGGTGCGTCCAGGGAAACTGGTAAGAGAGTACGGGTTCCAGCCCGCGAACTTCGCGGTCTCGCTATGTCGGGCAGGCACAGTAGACGGTGAGGGCTGCATCGTTGCCGTGTCGTCGTCCACCAGGGCATTCCAGCAGCGCCGCGCCGCGCCGCGGCGCACACGCAGCGTCTGGGCCAGCCTCAGCAGGCTGGAGGCGCCATGGCGGGAAACTGCACGAGAAGTGTAGGGGGGAAACGGGAGGCGTGTGAGGCCGACTCACACTAGAGGATTCGAGCCGTTCGCGGCCTTTGACATGTAAAGTGAATGGGATACTGTTTATTCGCGCCTCTATGTTGCCATGTGGCAAGTGGAGTGGGTATTGTTGTTCGGCCCCAAGCGGCATAGCCACGTGACGAATGTTGTGGAATAGTACGTTTTATCGCCCCCCCAGGCGGTGCCGCGTGGCGAATCGAGTTGAATCTATTTTTCACAGCCCCCGCCGCGCCGCGACGTGACGAGTAGAGCGGAATAGTATTTTGTCGCTTGCCAAGGCGTTCCCACGTGGCGAGTGGAGCGGAAAGTATGTTTTTGGGCCCCGCGGCGCTGCCACGTGACGAGGCACACATTGCGTTTCAGCGCATTGCATGGCAGTGCATTGCATTGCGTTGTATTGTATTGCTTTTCGTAGCGTTGCACGCATTGCATTGCACTGCACTGCGATGCGTTGCATTGCATTGCGTTGCATTGCATCCTGTTGCATTGCTTTGCACTGTTTTGCACTTGCATTGCAATTGCAATGCATTTCGTTGCAGTAAATTGCGGGCGAGGGGAGGAGGAGGAGGAGGAGGAGGAGGAGGAGGAGGAGGAGGAGGAGGAGGAGGAGGACAGGGAGGGAGCAGAACGGAGGAAGGTACAGGATGAATTTCAATTTGGCGATTGAAAGCGGGACCAATGTAAACCGGACGGATTTTAACCAGATGAATCTAAGCCGGACGGATTAAAATTGGATGCGTTCAAACAGACGACTCAAAGCCGGGTGAATTTAAACCAGACGACTTAAAACCCGATGAATTTAAACCGGACGAGTTTCAGCCGGATGAATTTGAACAGGACGGATTTTCAACCTGACGCATTGAAACCGGACGAATTTTACTGAATTGGACGAGTTCCAATTGGGCAAAGTTTAAGTTGATAAAAATGGCAGGGTGAGCGAAACAAAGGCACACCAAACCGAATGAATTTAAATTGGACGGATTAAAACCGGATGAATTTCAACCAGGTGAAACAAAACCGGATGAATTCAAGCCCGGGCGAATTTAAACAGGATAGAATTAAACCGAACGAAGTAAAACGGGTGAAATCAAACGGATGAAATTACACGGATGAAACCAATCGGATGACATTTAATTTGCATGAAACAAAGGTGAATTTAGCTAACCCCCGCCCCCTTTGGGCAAGTCCGGGGGGGTAGGTAGCATCTGGGCTGCTGACGGGGGGGTGGGGGGGGAGCTAAGCCCCCCCCCCGCCTTTCGGGAAGGGGGGGGGGGTAGCTTCCGGCACCGGAAGAAAGGGTGGGGTGGGGGGGCTTCCAACAAGGGGGCCTCAAGGGAGGAGGGGGGGTAGCTGAGGTCAAGCCCCCCCCTTTTGCTCGGTCGCTGAGGGCGCGCCGTCTCGCACTGCTGCACCCAGCCCCATGGGATCACCCGTCGATGGTAAAGAGTTGATTGGGGAGGGAAGACGGGCGTAGCTTTCGGATTGCGATTGGCGTCGGAACGGATGCGCGATCCAAATATCTCGCGACCTCGGTCTATACAAACATCTGTATACATCGATCGGACTAACTGTTTCATGCTTATCAAACGAATGCACTGCCATAGAAACGACGGCCTCTCGATCTGTTGATCTAGCAGTCCATGGCATCACTCGTATAACTAATTGTCTTTTGGTCTCGCGATCCATCGACCGAGGTTACGATATCACATAGTGGTCGATTCCGCTGTATGTAGGCGTCACAGTTTATGTAATCTGTTTAGCGGCATCACTATATGTTGCTTATCTGTGTCTACCGCTATCACAAGTCATCGATCTGACCACCTGGCTATCGATCTCAACATTTATTCAAAGGTCCCACTATTTGTGCATCTATCCGTCAATGCTGCTTCGCCTCTGGTTGCGCGCTGGGGGGCCCAGGGTTGTCCCGCGGATATCCTCTGGTGGACCAGTGGTTGTCTGGCGGCTGTTCCGATCGTCTTCCCGCCGTTGTTTTGGGGTTGTCCTGGCCATTCTCGTGCTTGTGCCGTGCTTGTCCCGTAGTTGTCGTGCGGTTGTCCCGTGGTTGTCTTTTCGTGTTCCCGTGGTTGTCCCGTGATTGTCTTGTCGTTGTCCTGTGTTTGTGTCCCGTGGATGTCCCGTGGTTATCCCATGGATGTCCCATGGTTGTCACGTGGTTGCGCCGCCGACGTCCCGTGGGTGTCCCGCCGCTGTCTCATGGTTGTCCCGTGGTTGTCCCGCCGTGTTTAATTCAAGGTTTGGTCTTCGATGCGTTTGGTAAATGCATACGCAAACTATGGCAGATGTCTATATAGTACGAGATCGATGGACGGATGGCAGTGGGGTCGATGGATAGTGAGACCGAAAGGAAAAGAGCACGACCAATCAAAATTTTGATGTTGGAATGGGTGGGTTAGTGAAATAAATCATGAAGCTGGCAGCTCGGTTGATCGACAAATGCATTGTAGCACCGTCGATGTATACATAAATGTATACTTGATCTGGAAATCGGACATCGGGGGATGCGACCGACATGCAACGTGAGGTGCTCCAGCTGGGCAGCCATGCCATTTCGTGTGTAGCAAGCGGGCGGGCGAGACGAAGCTGCTTGAAGTCCTTCACTGGTCGCCAGTTCAGACCAAATCGGATCGCCCTCTCCCCCCCCTCCCCGGGTCTGGGCCGTCGCCCTGCTTGTGTCAATGGTTGCGCCGATAGTTCTTCCGATGACAGGATAGACAGGTCGATGGACATCCATTTCTTTGTTTCGATGTGTGTGTGCGCACTCGTGCATTGATTTGAGCGTCCAATGCACATCAAAGATGACGTCACCCTCCAAGCATCCTCATCACTCGACGGGTTGTCTATGAGGCACTATTGTGCCGATCTGAGAGTGGTTTCGAGGTTCTGCGTCCTATCAGGATGTAGGGCGTGGTTGGAGACAGTATTGGGCGTCTTGGCGGTTTCTGTGGGGCATCTTTGATTCTTCTTGGGCCATCTTGGAGTTTCTGCTTGGTGCCGACTCACGATCATCCGTTGCAAAACGCATTTGAATTGAATCTCAGTTGACGTGGCAGCGCGAGCGCTGGCGACGACAACCCGCTCACTCGAGCCAGAACGCACGGTCATCCTCAACACGCGCGCAACAGCATTTGCGACATTGGGCCTCGAAGGTCGGGCCCAACGAAATAGCTGCTGGAGGCGGCCGCCAGCTCGGAATGCATGCGCGTGACAGCCAGCGGCAGAGCCTTTCATGACCCCGCGCGCCGAGGCACCGGGCCCGCCCTCGGCGAGCGCCACGGGCATCCTGGCTGGGGCGGCGGGGCTGACCGCGCCCGCCGAGGCGCGAGAGATGCTGCAGAAGTACCTGGGGATGCTCGCCGCCGCCGGTGCGGCGGGTGGGGCTGGACCTGTGGCGCCCCCTCACGGCGCCGGGCTGGCCGAAAAGCGTCAACACTGACCCAGACGGTTTCGAGAGCGACCCTCGAGGGCCCGAACATGGCCTCGGGACCAGACCATTCCAAGTCGACCCCAGGGGGGGCTCCAGGAAATTGACCTCGAAATCGGCAGCCTGTCACAGCTTGGAGGGACGATTAGTCCAGGCCAGGAGTAGCCGACGGCCGTCGGGGTGTGGCTCCTGGTGCTGCTGGGGGTGAGGGGGGTCTTGGGCCGCCGCGGTGCCCACAGGCTCGCGCGGTGGGCCAGGGTTTGGACCAGTGAGCCCATCCGCCGACCGTCACGATTGGTGATTTGAAAATGTCTGATTGCATTTGGGGCTCCTGCTCCAATCAACTGAACCTGGCTGCCTCGCTTTTTGATTGTCGCACCTTCCCGCGGCCGCTAGGATACCTGCAACTTCTTGTGGCTTCGCGCAGAACTGGACTTGGTTGCCGCACTTTCCACTTGCCATTTGGATTATCATAAGTTCCTGTGGGTTGGTATGGTTTCGCGAAGAACTGGAACTAGTTGCCGCATTTTCTGTTGGGCGCTTCTAGTATTGGATTGTTCTTCTTGGGGGGGCGTTACACAGACATCCGTTCCCTGACAGATGTACACGATGAGCCCCATCTGGGCAGATTCACGCATATAGGAGCCGACAACGGTCCAGGAACATGATGCAGAAGTCGATATTGTTGCTTCAGTATGTGTTTGTAGTGGTTTCGGCCCAAGAATTGCGGGCAGGGTCTTCATGTTCGATCGAACCCTCATACGGAATACGCTTTGGAGGGAGGAAACCCTTCCGTGGAGGATGATACAAGCAAAGACGCACCTCGTGGATGATTATTGCACATGCGCACCTTCCGTTGTGGATGGTTCACACATTGGAGCAGTTTGTGGTGGCAGATTTTCTGAAGGAGGCCTTCAGGTGTTGGCTCGCATGTAAAATCGCCATGTAGACGAGGTTAGTACTAACCTATCTACATCTATATACATGTATATATAAATAGACCCTTGGGACAAAGCCCGGGTCCCCAGAATCGTTACCTTCACACTCCACGGGGAAACCTGGGGGGCCCAGCATTCCCTGGATTTTCCCTTTAGGTTCTCTTGGCCTGCAGAGGCTTTCAGGGTGGCCCCGCAGGACGATACGAAGCCGCCAAGATGGCCCAAGCGGCTTCGACGTGGCTCCAGGACGACCCGAAGTGACCACCAGGTGCCCAAGAGCGGCTCCAAGAGTGCTCGCGACAGAGCTCCATCATGGATAGGTCATGGATTTGCTTTTTGTGTGAAAGTGGTTTTAGCATGCTAGCCTTTTCGGGTTTCCGATCGAAGAGGCCCCCAAGATCGCTCCGAGATATTGCTAAAGGGCGCCAAGAATACCCGATGCGACCTGGGACGACCCAAGAGGCCTCAAGAAGGCCCCATGAGTGGGAATTCGAGGGGGGACCTAGAGCCATCCCCCCAACATGACCCAAGAGCCCACCAACACGATTTCGGCGCAATCAACGTCAGTGTTGCAAACGAGCAGTCCTTCCAGCGCTTGTGCGTTCAGTCGTTTCTCATCCCAGCGCCTAACTGCTTTCCAAATGGTCGGCCAGCCCAGGCGTTCTTGGCCCCGCCGCGGCCTCCGCCCCAACTGCGCCCCCAGTGCCTTCGGCGGCCGACCCCACCGAGATGAATGTGGCAGCGGCCGCGCGCAAGGAGCCCGTGCAGGAGGCTCTGCCGAGGCAGCTGGAGCCAGCACCGCAGGGGCAGCTGCAGCAAGCAGAGGGGGCGGAGCACCAGGGGCACCCCAGCCCGCCTCGACAGCAGACGCAGCCGTCCCCGCCGCTTCAGCAGCAGCTGCGGGAGCAGCAGGAGCTGCTGCAGCAGCAGCTGTCGCAGCTGCAGCTGGCGCAGCTGCAGCAGCCTCCGGGCTCACAGCAGCACACGCAGCTGCAGCAGCAGCGGCTACTCTTGCTGCAGCAACTGCAGCGGCTGCAGCAGCTGCAGCAGCAGCAGCTGCAGCAGCAGCTGCCTCGGCACGTAGCGGCGCAGCAGCACCTGGACCAGCACCGGCAGCACCAGGACTGGCCACCTCAGCTTTACCGCCCAGTGTCCGGAGAGCAGGTGCTTTGCCTTGCTGCTCCCCCTGTTGATGCTACGCTTCGTATTTCCTGTTCATTATTTCCCGCTCCATGTTCCCCGCTTCGAATGCGACATAATGCCTCTGGTCCTCGAGGGGGACGACCCCCTTCTCGTGAGAGCGAGGGGCGTTCTATCGCGGCCATTCTACCGTAGAACGCAGTTGTTCTGAAGTAAAACAGCTTCCTTTCTCAGCACGGGCGGGGCCTTCTCGCGAGAATAGCCAGGGGAGGAGGGCTCGGCCGGTGGAGGGGGGATACAATTGTGTCGTGTGTGTGTGTTTGTGTGTGTGTCTCTGTGTGTGTGTCTGTGTGTGTCTGTGTGTGTCTGTGTGTGTCTGTGTGTGTCTGTGTGTGTGTGTGTCTGTGTGTCTGTGCGTGTGTCTGTGTGTGTTGTTCTGTAGCCCCTCTGGCTCAAGCCCTCTGGCTCAAGGCCACGAGCTGGCCCTCCCCCCGGGATCTCCCGTACTGGGGCGCCCAACGCAAGGGGCCCCGTCCCCGCGCCGGGCCCCCGCGACCCCCGCCGCTCCCCCTTTGCCCGGCCTAGCTCTGAGCCCCGCGGGGGGCTCCCTGGACGGGAACCCCCCACCAGGCCTACGCGGCGCAGTGACGGATGTGCCGAAAGTTCGCGCCTGCGTTCCCCCATTCCCCCCCCGAGCACCAGCTTGGGAGCTACTCTCACGGGGGGGGGGCGGGACAGACCAACTTTCATCCGACATCATCACTGCCCCCTCGGCCCTAGTTGAGGGGGCTCACGTTCAGCCTGCCGGGCCCAGCGTCCTGATCTCGCCAGAGTCCCTGGAGGCGCCCCAGCTTGGTTTCGCTTCTGCGGAGCATGGCCCGGAGGAGAGTGGCGGCTCCCCCAGCGATCCCCATGGTGCTGTCGATCACGGTGCCCAGGATGGAGCACGGCATACCCCCCGCATCGGCGTCAACCTCCCGAGTATGGTTACGCCGCCCCCCCTCGAGGAATGGCACCAGCGCTGAGGCAATTGGCCCGAGCCCCCCAGGTGGAGCAGCTTCCCGGCGTCCTCGAGGACTGGCATCAGCGCTGCGGCACCCGGCCTGGGCCCCCCAGTTGGAACAGCCCCCCAAGGGGCTCAGCGTCCCGATCCAGTCCGAGGGCGTAACGGCACCCTAGACAGCAGCAGTTGGAGAGCCTGACAGACCCCAATATCGACCCCGCGGAGCAGACTCCCACTGCCCCTGCACACGCTGCCTCAGGCCTGGGCAATGGCGTCAGCGCGCCGCGTCGGTCCATGGAAGGTCAGGACGAAGGAGCAGCTCAGTCGCCTCAGCATCGCCAGACCAGCCCCCATCGTAGTGGACCCCCTCCAGGGCTAGCCCCGCCTCAGGCAGCAGGAGGGACGGCTCTACACACCGACGAGACCGACAGCCTCCTCCCCCCAGCTACGGAAGCCAGGACATCAAGCCAGATTGTGAACAAGCGTGAGAGAACGAGCCGAAGGAGATTGAGGATGGCGGCGACGAGGAGGAGGAGGTGGAGGAGGAGGAGGAGACATTGCAAGTGCCGCCGGAAGACAAGAGACGCAGGCGGCAGACGTGCAGGAACCTATCTAGGATGTATCGTGCACGAAGCGCGTGAAGAGGGGGAGAAGGAGAGGCGGAGGAGAAGCAGCAGGCACCGAGGAAGAAAACGAGACGGAGCAGGATGAGGACTGGGGAGATGGATCGGCGTAAGGGCGGTGAGGGGGGAAGGAACACTCAGGAAAGAAGTAGGATCCCGAATTGGGGTAGGAGTTGAGTGAGGATGCGGCACGTGCCCTCGACCAGAATTTAAACGCGCGTGCGAATAGCGCGCGTGGTTCTAGATCTAGTAATGCAACGGCGTGCCATGATATATTTCATCTCCTGTGGTATGACACGCCGCGTTATCCAATCCATATGCCGTGCCTTTCCATGCAACTTAGTGTCGTCAAGGCATCGTTTTAGAGAAGATGAAAGACCCCAAGTTGGTCCTCGCTGGTTTCTTCACAGGTATTGGCCTCGCCCAACGAGACCACCAAGGTTCCTAAGGGACACCCTAAGTCCTGCTCGTCGCATCCCCGCGCGATGTCACACTGCCTATGTGGCCATAGTCGGTCCACTGTGCACGTGCGGGGAGCGCACTACAGAACGCATTATCTTCACGCCGCTGTCGCTTGTGCTCGCGCAGCTCTTCGATTTCACGCTCTTCCCGTTCAAATCGGGTAATGCTGAAGAAGGAGGAAGAAGAGGAGCAGGAGGAGGACACATACATCAGATTTTTGATGCTTTCGAGTCGCGGGGCCTGAGACTTTTCAATCCCTTCCCTGGGACCAGCTTCTCAATATGTTTTTGTGTTGTTCTTGGGGCATGCAAATTGTTCCTGGTGGTTCCAAAAGCAAAGATGAATTCTGACTCTGTCTTCGAATCTGTGGAGGTTTGGGGGCGAATCGAAGGAGGAGGGGGAGGAGGCACATCCTTCTGGTGCCGTTGGCGCTGCTGCGCGCCGCCAAGGTGCCCGCGCCCACCGGCCCCAGAGCTTCCCTGGACCACCAGACGCCCTCGCTGTCCGCCGCCGGTACTCGGTCGACAGTAAAAACATTCTGCTGCGTTTGTCTGTCGTTGTTGCCATCGCCGCCATCGTTCCTCTCCGTCGTTGTCATCAGTGGCCGTCTTTTTCCTGCCTGAACCTCGAGGGTATGGCCCTTGGCCGTGTATGTCGGGCTTCCGCATGTGTATCCAGCGCGTGGCCTCCAGATGTCCCACATTTGAGCATGGCCACGTTTCCAGCCTCTTGGTACGTCGCGCGCGCGAAACCAATGAGACTTCTAGAATCCACTCTCCAGCTTTCCTGTTCCTCTTCCCTCACCCCCCAGCCACTTTCCACTTCCTTCGCATCTGTTTCCTTGCCCTCCCTGCAATCCCTCTTCGCTCCTCCTCTCCTCTCCCCTTCTTTGCCTTCCCGTCACTACACTCGCGTACTCCCCCGTCTCCTTCACTCCTGCCCCGCCTCTTCTTTTCCCGCTCCCCTTTTTCCTCCCCGTCACAACTTCCGTTACCAGTCAACATCCCCCCTCACAAATACGTGACAACATGTGGCCACAGCCCAGTGCTTTGCAAACAGTCTGAAGAAAACACCATCCATTATTTTCCAAACAAGTAGTCCCTGCTCGCTCGAGGTACTTGGAGCTTCCTGGGCTGAACTGAAGCACAAGCTTGAACCCGGAAGCGGGTTCGTCATTATCGTGACCGATTTCCTTTATCTCATGTGTTGCGGCAGCCTAAGTCCTCCTGGAGCCTTCTTGGAGCGTTCTGGCGGCCTCCGGGGCCGCCTTGAAGTAATATGAGCTGTCTTGGCGAGCTATTGGGCCGTATCGCCGATTCCTGGGACCATCTTGGAAGCCTGAGGCTTCTTGGAGCCCTTTCGGCATGTTTTGGGCCCCCCTTGCCTCCGGGAAGGTCACGCGGGATGTCATGGGATGCCCCGAGAGCGCCAGTAATTCGGGGCTGTGGGCGCCTTAGCAGGATATGGCTGCATTCAGTGTAGAGGACTCGAAGGGTCCTGAGGACACTCCGCTTCTTGCCTCGGGGCACTGTGGCGGATCTGTGTGTATGAATACATAATTCTGTGATATACATACATACGCATACGTACATACATGCATGCCTGCATACATACATACAAACGTACATGCATACATACATACTCACCACCCACCAAACCACCCCAACCCAACCCGAAGGCCCTAAATTGAACTCCATTTCCAGTGGGGAGGGGGTCGGGGAACATCGAGAAAATACATGGAACCCGTACCCCCCCCAACCCGAAATTCGGGTCTTCGGGTTGGATTGGGGTGGTCTGGTAGGTACTCACATACAGACGTACATACATATGCACACTAATACATCCGCGCATACGTACATCAACACATCTGTCCATCCATCCACACATATTTACATACGTACATACATACATAGCTGTACACATACACACCTACACATAAACCTGTAAACATGCCTATGCATGCAAACGCACATACGTACATACGTACATACATACATACATACACACAGTCGTTCTATGCATTCATTAACTCGCCCATGAAGACGTACATACATACATACATGCCAGCAAACATGTGTACGTCCATGCATACACACATACATGCCCACGCATGTATTTATATATATATATATATATCCATATATACATACAGACAGACAGACAGACAGACAGACAGACAGACAGACAGACCGACAGACAGACAGACAGACAGACAGACAGACAGACAGACAGACAGACAGACAGACAGACAGACAGACAGACACACACACACAGAGACAGACAAACACACACACACATAAACATACATGCACACATACATGCATACATGGGAGATCCTGGCCCCGGGGCGGCCCCCTCCCTTGTACGACGGTGCCCCCTTGGCCCGGGGCGTTCTCCGGGTGGCCCCCCCGAGGTCCCAGGAAGCCTGAAAATCTTCCAAGATTCCGCAAGGCCCCTAAAAGCGCTCCGCGAGAGCTCCGAGACGGCTCCAGATGACACCGCGACAGCCCCACTGCGCCCCAAGACGCCCCAAGAGGCTCTCCAAGAGGCCCCCCAAGAGGACCCCAAGAAGGAAAAACCGTTCCATGTCTTTGGGGAAATGTATTTGTCTCGCAGATTCGCCTTTTGGGTTTTCACAACGTCCACGACGGCCCAAGAGGCTCCCAAAACGGCCCAGGAGGCCCCCAAGAGAGAGCCCCAGGACCGACCCAAGAGGGGTCCCAGAGGGGAACAACTGTAGTTTCGGGTCTGGGCTTCAAGATGCTCACAGGAGGCCCCTAGGGGCTCCCAAGAGGCCCCAAGAGGCCCCAAAGGGGCCCCCAAGAGGCCTCCAAGAGGCCCCAGGAGGCCCCCAGGAAGCACCCAGGAGACCCCCTAAGAGGCCCCAAACGGGCCCCTGAGAGACTTCCCAAGAAACTTTAAAATCTACATCTGCGGCCCGTTCCTGGAGCGCCGCCTGATCGGCACAGGTTTGGTTTGTGTATGTATGTATGTGTATGTATGCACGTACGCATGCATTCATGTATGTCTGCATGTACAGTTGTATGTCTGTGTTCATGTATGTGTGCATGTACGAGAAAAGAAAGATAGCTTGTCCTGGCGAAGGGCCCACCCCTAGTGTATGCAGCTGCGTATAGCGCAGAGCCGTCTATGAATTCCTTACGGCATACACCCTACCACGGACGCATCACCATAGGAGCCCCTTTAGTACATATTCCTCATTGACATGGGTGTTACATACGAGCGCATCTTAGCACAGACCCTTTTGACGGACCCCTGTTTACGTAGTCCCTTTCTAATCCATTTTGTGGGGCAATCCATGCTGAATGGACATTAACTGGTGAATCCTCCTTAAAAGTCTTTGTTATTGTTCCAGGAAGTCGTCTTTACAGGCGCCCTTACTCAGCAGTTAGTAATAACGGGAAACGGACTGGTAAGTATTTACTACTTGGCATTTAAGTATTTGATACCTTTTACCACCATGCTAACGTATCAATGCTTGCATATTGAAGGCATCCGTACACATGTGCCCGTATCAACGCAATCCATTAGACAGGACACATTACTTCAGGATTGAATTCAACAGGCATACACAAGAAGAAACCCGCGCTGAAGGAAACGTTGCCCAGGCATCCTTACCAAAGAGACATTGGCTGAGGCGTGCCCTTGACGAGCGCATGCTTGCTAGGGGCTGCGCATGAAAGGCACTCTTACCAACGAGCCTTTCCACCAAAGGGCATCCTTACTAAGGAAATCTCCATGCTTCCTCACTAAAGGATCCTTTCTGACGGCCCCGTGACAAAAGCATGCGTATTGAATGGATCCGCACCCAACCCCTCATCATCGACATCCTTATTTAGAGGCCCATATTAAAGGCATCAGCAGACACAAATTCAGATTCAAGAATTCCAACAGAAAGGGAGCATTACTAAAGAAGTCCTCGCCGAAGGGCCCCTATCAGGACTGCTTACAGGGGCCCTTGCACTGATCATCCGTCTTGCAGGCAGCCTTATTTAGGATTCGGGGCCCTTGCTAAGGGCAAGAGTGGGGTGGACAACATATGATTAGCTTGGCGAGCGACCCAATAGTATACAGCTGCGAGCGCCGCGAGACAAGTGAATGCTGGTTGGCAGAGGCCAAAGGCGCGCGCGAGAAGGGTGGGGCGACGTTGCTTGCGGGGTCGCAGGGTCAACGAAACGTGCGAGGGGTGCGCCAGAATGGGAAGGCGGCGTCATGCGGGCGCAACCGTTGGGGCCTCCGGCGGGGCCCCCATGTGGGGCCACGACATGCGTGGGGGGTGCGCCAAAGTAAGGTGGCGGTGGCATGCGGGCGCAACGATTGGGGCCTTAGGTGGAGCCTTCTACGGGGACACCAAACGTGCGAGGGGAGCGCCGAAACAGAGACATGAGGAGAGCAGAGGCAAGGGATGGGAGGAGGAGGAGAAGGAGGAGGAGGAGGAGGAGGAACAGGAGGAGGAGGAGGAGGACGAACGGACGGACGGACGGACGGACGGACGGACGCCGATGTCCACGCCCGCGTGCCACGACACGCGGCCGCGCGCCGTGAAGGCGACGGCGGGGGCGCCGGAGCGCCAGAAAATTATGCAGCCTGCTCTCACTTTTTGATCCACGGTAATGTGCTTCATTTGATTGATCCATCCACATGATTCGTGCAATCGTTGTGTCGGGGCGTCTGTCGCCGCACAAACTTGCCTGGAAATTAAAGTCCACCATCCAATATGTGAAAACGTATCGAGATCATCCAGTGCCTTCCGGTCGCAACGCCGAAACTGTTCTGAAAATCTTTAGTTAAGTATATGATTTTCTCAAAGGGTCGCCCGTCCCGCCATGCAACAAGTTGCACGCTCTCTGCCACAGATGTGTACGATGCCTGTTACCATTATGTTTTTCGAATCCATTCCTTGATAAAGCAGTTTCCGGCCACTGCAGGCACGCAGAAAGTATTGTGCTATACTTGTTCAGCAGGTGCACGTCGTTCCCATCGCAAGAGAGATTGTTTATTCTAAAGGCTGCCGCCTCTGCCGCCGACCCCCAGAAGGAACGAGAGCTTGTCACGGGCGCGGCTGCTCGGATGCATACGATTTCTTCGGACGATCTCCAGGGCATCTTTTGAAGCGCTTTGGAGGCCGCTTGGGCCTTCTTCGGAGCTTCTGAGGTTGTTCCGAGGCCATCTTGGGGTGCAGGTGGGTCCTCGAGCAGGGTTTGTGTACGATTCTTGAGGCCTCTTTGGTCGCTGTGGGCGGGGGCCCGAGGAAACGTACGCTGGCCTTCCGCGGCGGGCCTATGGGAGCATTGTTCTCCGATTCGGAGGGGGGGGGGATTTCGAAGCGTTTTTGGGATTGCTGCCGAGCGGGGCTGGGTCGTTTCGATGTTTTTTTGCTATTGTTGGCGTTCTGATTGGGTCCTTTAGGGCCACACTGGGGCGCTCTGGAGGCAGCGGAGGCTTCGGGGGTGCGTTTCGGATTTCGTCCACGTCTTGGGGAAGGGGGACAGGAGAGGAGGGGAGCCAAATGTCTGAGACGGATTTTCTCCCCACATCCTAAGTGGGGTTCTTGTTTTCTCTGCACCCCTCCGCGCAGGATCTCTCGTCCTCCTCCCTCTTTTCTGCTCCTCTTTGCTTCCTCCTCCGCATCATCATCACCATCACCATCACTCCCCACTCATCATCATCATCCAATCACTTGTATCAATCCCCTACCATCAACATCACCATCACCATCGCACGATCATTCACCATCATCGGCATCGAACGATCATCATCATCATCATCATCATCATCACTACTCGCTGACTCACCACTTCGCCCCCGTCATCATCACCACCATTTACCATCAAAATCGCACGATCACTCACCATCAGCACTCATCATCACCACCATCACCATCATCACGTCGTCATCATCACCACCACCATCATCATCATCATCATCATAATCATCATCATCATCAATCATATATCATCATCAAACACCGTCGTCATCATCCCTTCACCATCATCCACCAAGAGGGAGCTTCGTCTGTGAGTGAATTGTGGGGAAGTCTCAGGCGGGAGCCCCGTCCCTATGGGGCCCGCAGATCATGTTACTAATCCGAGCGGGTCATCTGATTCCTGTAACTGTCGTCACTTTTGGGCTCCTCAGGTGTGAATTTGGAGGAAGTATCAAGCGGGAGCCTCGTTTGTCAGTGAATTGCGAGGAAGTCTCAGGCGGGAGCCCCCTCCCTATGGGGCCCGCGGATCATGTTAGTAATCCGAGCGGGTCATCGAATTCTGTAACTGTCGTCATTTTTGGGCTCCTCAGGTTTGAATTTGAGAGACCCTCGTCTGTGTGTGAATTGTGAGGACGCGTCAAGCGGGAGCCCCGTCCCCATGGGGCCCGCAGATCATGTTACTACTCCGAGCGGGTCATCGGATTCTTGTAACTGTCGTCACTTCTGGGCTCCTCAGGTCTGAATTTGGAGGAAGTATCAAGCGGGAGCCTCGTCTGTGAGTGAATTGCGAGGAAGTCTCAAGCGGGAGCCCCCTCCCTATGGGGCCCGCAGATCATGTTATTAATCCGAGCGGGTCATCGGATTCTTGTAACTGTCGTCACTTTTGGGCTCCTCAGGTCTGAATTTGGAAGTATCAAGCGGGAGCCTCGTCTGTGAGTGAATTGTGAGGAAGTCTCAGGCGGGAGCCCCCTCCCTATGGGGCCCGCAGATCATGTTACTAATCCGAGCGGGCCATCGGATTCCTGTAACTGTCGTCACTTTTGGGCTCCTCAGGTTTGAATTTGGAGGAAGTATCAAGCGGGAGCCTCGTCTGTGAGTGAATTGTGAGGAAGTCGCAGGCGGGAGCCCCCTCCCTATGGGGCCCGCAGATCATGTTACTAATCCGAGCGGGTCATCGGATTCCTGTACCTGTCGTCACTTTTGGGCTCCTCAGGTCTGAATTTGGAGGAAGTATCAAGCGGGAGCCTCGTCTGTGAGTGAATTGTGAGGAAGTCTCAGGCGGGAGCCCCCTCCCTATGGGGCCCGCAGATCATGTTATTAATCCGAGTGGGTGATCGGATTCTTGTAACTGTCGTCACTTTTGGGCTCCTCAGTTCTGAATTTGGAGGAAGTATCAAGCGGGAACCTCGTCTGTGAGTGAATTGTGAGGAAGTCTCAAGCGGGAGCCCCCTCCTTATGGGGCCCGCAGATCATGTTATTAATCCGAGCGGGTCATCGGATTCCTTTAACTGTCGTCACTTTTGGGCTCCTCAGGTTTGAATTTGAAGGAAGTATCAGGCGGGAGCCTCGTTTGTAAGTGAATTGCGAGCAAGTCTCAGGCGGGAGCCCCCTCCTGATGGGGCCCGCAGATCATGTTATTCATCCGAGCGGGTCATCGGATTCCTTTAACTGTCGTCATTTTTGGGCTCCTCAGGTCTGAATTTGGAAGAAGTATCAAGCGGGCCCCTCGTCTGTGAGTGAATTGTGAGGACGCGTCAGGCGGGAGCCTTCCTATGGGTCCCGCAGCTCACGTGGTTCCTCCGGGTCATCATCCAGCGCGCGCTTCCTCTGGGTCGTCCTCCTGCGCGTATCGGCTGGGACGCACGTCGTGCGCTTCCTCTGGGTCGTGTTCCGCACGAGGACGAGGAGGAGGAGGATTGCCAGGAAAAGGAGGAGGGATGATGCAGGACGAGACAGGAAAGCAGGAAGAGGAAGAGGCTGAGGGGAGGAAGGACGAGGAGGAAAAGGAGGAGGAGGAATGCCCGAGGAGGCCCAGTAGGTCCCGGAAGGCCCAGAAGGCTCCAGGAGGCCCCAAGAGGCCCCAGGAGGCCCCAGGAGGGGGCAGGAGGCCTAAGGAGGAGGCAGGAAAAGGAGGAGGAGGAGGAGGAGGAGGAGGAGGAGGAGGAGGAGGAGGAGGAGGAGGAGGAGGAGGAGGGGGGGGGAGGAGGGGGGAGGAATATGGAAACGAGGAGGAGGAGGTGGAGGAGGAGGAGGAGGAGGAGGAGGAGGAAGCGGATGAGGGAGAGGGAGAGGAGGAGGACAGGGGAGGAGGAGGAGGAGGACGGGGAGAAGGGAGAGGGAGAGCAGGAGGAGGAGGCAGGAGGCAGGAGGGGCAGGGGGAATGGGGGGGAGGAAGCATAACGAGGGGGAGGGGGAGGAGGTGGAGGAGGCAAGGAGAGGAGGAAGAGGCAGGGGTTGAGGCAGGAGGAGGAGCAGACAGGAGGAGAACGAGGAGGCAAGAGTAGGTGGGAGAAGGGAAGGGGCAGGAGGATACCCCCATGCAAGCTAAAGAGATTATCATGTGCGGTTCTTCCGTCGGAGTAGTTACACATCTATAGTTTTTTTTTACATTTTTACATATCTATAATTTTACAAATCTATAGTTATATATATATATATATATACATGTATAAATATACACATACATATATGTATGTATATATACGTGTGTGTGGCTCCCCGTGCGCCCAGGTGCGCTTCGGGGCGACAGAAGGGTTTCGTTTTCTTTATCTTGCGTTCCCCCTGGTGTCAGCTTGGCTGTGCTGCAGGTTAGTGTCGGGCCGACGGGGCGGCGAATCTCAGCGCCGGCGTTCAAGGTTGAACGCCGCAAGGACGGAGCCAGCACGAATGTAATGTTGGAAAGCCGCGACCTTCCAATGTTGAGCGGTCCAGGCGGTGTCAGAAACCAACGCGCAAGTCGCCACGACACGAATCTGCCGAGCGGCAGTCTAAACATGACATTGTCTCTGGACAGGCCCCGTATCCCTCCCTCTCCTCCCGCGGCCTCCTCCTCTTCCTCCCCAGCATCTCACTTCCCCCCTCTTTCTCCATCCCCATCCTCTCACTCTGCTGCCGCTGCTGCTGCTGCTGCCCTTCACTCCGTACTCCCCCTGCTTCTGCTGCTGCTGCTCTTCCTCCTCCTTCTTCTCCCTTTCCTCCTCCTCCTCCTCCTGCCCCTCTCGTCCTCCTCCTCCTCCTCCTGCCCCTCTCGTCCGCCTCCTCCTTTTTTCCTCCTCTTCCTCCTCATCCACTCCCTCCTCCTCCTATCCATCTCACTCCTCCTTCTCCCTCCCCTTCCTGCTGCCACTGCTGCTGCTGCTTCTGCTGCTCCGTGGTGGAAGATACCGCGCCTATCATTCGAAGATTTTGGCGAGAAGGGTTTCTCCTTACAAGGTGTGGTGCCTGCTTTGAACGTTTCGTGTCCCATTCCGTGGCGATAAGTTTGTAACCAAGGTAGGTGCATCGCAGTTGCCGTATGTGTTACAGGTGGAGACACTGGGCGACATCTTTGTTTGTTGTCGTTTCTCTCTCTCTCTCTCTCGCTGTCTCTCTTTCTCTCTCTCTCTCTCTTTCTCTCTCTCTCAAACTTTGTCCCGCACAGCAAGAACAGCTATAACTAGAGAGGGGTGACAACAACAACTATACATAGAGAGCAACAACTACATATACCTGTATAGAGAGAGGGAGAGGTGGGAGAGATATATAACGTACGCACAGACCCTGTTCACATTGTGTATGTACACATCGTGATGAGTGTACGGTGTAAGAGGGGAAGAGGGATACATAGCAAGCATGAGAGACAGAAGAATATCTTCATGTGTTCAATTCAAGCGAACACGGTGACACGGCGTAGTTGCGTGTCCATGCGCGGCGGTTGCGGACTACCGTCTTGTTGATCACAAGTTGCATTGCCGCGCAGCAGAAACTGACAGGTGACGTCCGCTGTGATGGCGTGCAAGTCTGCTGCGACGCACCTCCAGGCGCTGCTGTCGTCTCTCTTTTCTCTGTCTCTTTCTCCCTTCCGCTCGCTCTCTCTCTCTCTCTCGCTCTCTTTCGCCCTCTGTCTCTGTCCATCTCTCTTTCTCCTTCTCTGTCTGCCTGTCTCTCTCTCTCTCTCAATGTGCCTCGCGCCACCTTCACCCTCTCCCTCGTCCATCTCCTCTACCTTCTCCGAAAGCTCCGCCTCGCCATCGCCCTCCGCCTCCGCCTCCGCATCCTTTCCTCCCCGCACCGCGCACCAGCCTCCCCCCTCCCCCTTCCCCTTCCCCTTTCCCCGCCTGCTCCGCCGGGACTCCCTGGCTGGCTCTGGACGGCCCCGTGGCACAGCGGGGGCAGCTCGTGCGAGGGCAGAGTCAAGACGCTGACATGAGAAAGCGTTGGGGTTCGGAAAGGAGGCGGAGGAGGAGGAGGAGGAGGAGGAGGAGGAGGAGGAGGAGGAGGAGGAGGAGGAGGCGGAGGAAGGAGGAGGAGCGAGGAGCGGAGGAGGCGGAGGAAGGAGGAGGAGGAGGAGGAGTGAGGAGGAGGAGGAGGAGGAGGAGGAGGAGGAGGAGGCGGAGGAGGAGGAGATGGGAGGAGGGGAGGAGGGGAGGAGGAGGAGGAGGAGGAGGAGGAGGAGGAGGAGGAGGAGGAGGAAGAGCTAGAGGAGGAGGAGGAAGAAGGGGAGAGGAGACGCCCCGAGGAGGAGGAGGAGGAGGAGGAGGAGGAGGAGGAGGAGGAGGAGGATGGGGAGGAGGAGGAGGAGGAGGAGGAGGAGGAGGAGGAGGAGGAGGAGGAGGAGGAGGAGGAGGAGGAGGAGGGGGGCTTGCTGCTCCCCAGGTCCTTCCGTGGTGGCTCCCCTGGCGCTCCTCGTGCACCCCCGGCCACCCTTGGGGCCAACAGGGCGCCCTCCTTTTCTGCTGCGCTCCTCACTCGTCGGTGGTTGCAAGTAGGTGTTTTTTGGATTCCCACATCCCAATCTACTTCCAGCGCCTTCCTACTTGAAGAGTCGAGCGGTTTTCCTCTTCCCCCCTCTTTCCAGGAGGTGGGCGGAGACCCAATCTGCTTCCAGCGCCTTCCTGCTTCATGTCCCTGCCTGCCTCTTCCGACCGCCGGGTGTGGTAGCGCGATGACATGCAGCCTGTGCCCATCGCGGCTTCGGCTCCGCTCAGGGGTGGGCGCTCCCGTCCCAGCACCAGCCGGTCTCCGACCCTCCGCGCCAGCCGAGCCCGCCGACGAGCGGCGCCCGCCAACGCGGCCTCCGCGGGCGCAGGGAGCCTGTGCCGAGCGGGGCTTCGCCTCCGCCTCTGGGTGGGTGCTCTCGTTGGCGTGCCGGCCAAGCCAGCCGACCCTCCGCGCTGGCCGAGCCCCACCGACGCGTGGCGCCGACCGACGCGGCTGTGCCGCCGCCACGCCAGCCCGTACCGGCGCAGGCGAGATTCCGCTCGGCGTGCCCGTGCTCTCCTTTGCAGCGTCGCGCCTTGCGGGGGGCGCCCTGTTTGCCGCTGCCTCCGGCGCACCCGCTTCGGAGGGCGGCGAGATGACCAGAGATGTGTGCATGTCGGGGGCGGCAAGAAGAGGGTGATGACTGGGGGGGGGGGAATCTCATGTCGCGGGCCATGATGTTTCCTCAGATCTCATGGCGCCTCTTCTTGTGTCATTACGTCCCTGCCCCCCCCCCCTTGGGCCGCGCACATGCCGCCGGCCATGCTTTGCACCCCCCCCCTCTTGGACGCCCCCCTCTTGGACGCCCCCGAGGATAATTTAGATGTCGTTCCGACTGCCATGGCGCCTCTTCTTGTTTCAGCACGCCCCCCTGCGCCCCCCCCTGGGCTGCGAACGTGCCCAGGGAGGAGGAGGAGGAGGAGGAGGAGGAAGAGGAGGAGGAGGAGGAGAGGAGAGGAGATGGGAGGGGAGGAGGAGGAGGAGGAGGAGGAGGAGGGATGGGAGGATGAGGAAAGGGGAAGGGGAGGTTCGTGTTCGAGGTGCTCGTTCCTCCTCCTTTCCTCCTTCTCCTCAATCTCCATCTCCGTCTCCGTCTCCGTCTCCTCATCCTCATCCTCCTTCCTCCTCCTCCTCCTCCTCCTCCTTCTATCACCGACCGCGTTCCACTACTCGCAAAGTGCCTACTCGCAAACGTCCGGAAAACACATGTCTGCTTCGATGTAATTTCTCGTCGATCCCCCCGGCGGATCCGCAGGATCTAGGACAATTGCGAGTAGTCACTTTGCGAGTAGTGGAACGCGCTCGTCTATTCTACTCCTCCTCCTTCCTCCCTCCTTCATCCCTCCTCCTCCCCTCTAGGACGCCACCCCACCCCCCCTGGGAACCCCCCTCTTTGACGCACCCAGCGCCTCCTCTGTGGCCCGCACCTACCCTGCCGCGGGGGTCCGCGGTGTCACCGCCGCCTTCCGGCGGGGGCAAGAGAGATCTAATGACGGGTGCTTCAGGGGAGGAGGAGGAGGAGGAGGAGGAGGAGGAGGAGGAGGAGGAGGAGGTGGAGGAGGAGGAGGAGGAGGAGAAGGGAAGAGAGAGGGGAAGAGAGGGGAGGAGGAGGAGGAGAGGAGGAGGAGGAGGAGGAGGAGGAGGAGGAGGGAGAGGAGGAGGCAGAGGAGCAGCAGGGGAAGGGGGGGTCGCGTTCCAGGAAGGTCGCCATGGTGGTTAGGGGTTTGGCATGCGTCGCGTGAAAGATTGTTTCTGCCGTACCAGGAGGAAGAGGTGGAGGAGGAAGAAGGGGGAGGAGGAGGAGGAAGAAGGGGGAGGAGGAAGAGGTAGAGGAGGATTAGGAGGAAGAGGTAGAGGAGGAGGAGGAGGAAGAAGGGGGAGAGGAGACGCCCCCCAAATCATAAACCCTCCCCCTTTTTTGTTCGGGCCTGGTCCTCCGCCCAGGCCCTGCCCCCTGCGCGCGCGCAGGTGCAGAAGGCCAAGCTGCCGCAGGACGAGCTCGCCAAACTGCAGGCGCGGGTCAAGGAGGCGGCCTGCGGGGGGAGGGGGGGGGGCCCTCCTACGCCTCCTCCCTCCCTGCCTCCCCTCCTCTTTCTGCTGCCTCCCCCCTCCTCACTCCTGGTCTTCTTCCACTCATCCCTCCTCGTCCCCCCCTCCCTCATCCTCCTCCATCGCCCTCCCTCTTCCCTCCTCTTTGCCGCGCTCTGCATCCCTCCTTTTGTTCTCATCCTCACTGCTCCTTCTCCTCCGTCCGACTTCCTGATATTCCCTGCTGCTCTCCCTCCACCTCCCCCTCCTAGCCTTCCTCCCTTTCCCTCCCCCCTTTCCTCCACCTCTCCTCCCCCGCCTCCAAATACTCATCCTCCCCTGCCCTCCCTCCTTTCCCGCCATCAAATTCCTTCCCCTCCTCCTTCCCTGCCTCCCTTCCGTCCTTCCCCCTTCCCTCGTTCCCCCCCGCCCCCCTCCCGTCTCCTGTCCTTGCTGGGGCGGGAAGGGGCAGCGGGAGGAGGTGGTTGGAAGGGGCTCCCTTCCCCTCATCTCTTGCTTCACTCTCCTCCTCGTCCTGTGTAGCTGTAAGCGCCGAGGCGCTCGTTTCTGCGCCTTGAGTTGGTGACCATTGCTTGAGCGGCCGTTTCCTCGCAGCTGGGCCCCGCAGCTTCACCTCAGCGCGCTGCCTGGCGCGCCTATCATGCTGAGGGCTTGGTATATCTGTCCGTCCATGGTCCGTTTGCCGCTTGGTCTGGAGCTATCGATCCGATGGCTCCTCCGATGGCTCGCTCGCTCCGCTGCGAATCTCCGGACCGCGGATAGCTATGCATATGCTTCCAGGTAGCCAAGACACGGAACGAAAACGTGTCTTCTCTGATCTTGTCGCCCTTCGGGGCCCACTTCGATTCGGACGACCCCGCTCGATGGCGAGCTCATCTGGCCCCTTCCGATACGAGGTTCGATTCCCGGGTTGTCCGCGGCCCGATGCATGGGGACAGCGCAATTGTGTGTGTGTTCCTGTGGCGGCCTGTCTGGATTCGAATCCGGTTCCGAGCCGGACGCAGCCTGATCTAGTTATATTCGGATATAGCTGGGACCCCGGGCAGAGTGAGCGGCTTGGTGATCGGACCCCTAATCTTCAAACATTGCCAGAATCACTAGAGCAAGTCTGCCGTAGTTGGCGTTTGATCGGACGACGGCAGTTCTCGATTCGCGCAATGTGGCTGGGGGGGCGCCCCCTGGTACACAGCATCACGAGGCCAGGTCCCGCCAGACCCAGTCCCGCGAGGACGAGCGCGGGTCGCGCGCCCCTTGCTGGGCCAGAGCGGTCGCCCTGCTCCTGGAGATGTGGGGGGGGGGGGCGTGGCGCAATGGCGAGAGGGCGACATCGCCCCTCCGGGGGCTCGCAGCGGGGCGACTTCCTGTGCAGGCGCGGGAGTTGGGGGACCCGGTCTGGGTGCGGGCGGAGCTCCGATTGATTCCGGGGGGCCGCTGCCGAGGTCCAGGTCCGGGGGACCCTCTTTGTGGCCGGGGCTCGCCGCGGGGCAAGTCAAAGGCCCGTCGTTCCTCCTTCGGCAGCACAGTGCAGTCGAGACGCTGAAGTAAGGAACAGTTTGGGTTCGGAAGGGGCTCGATGTTTTTTGGGTTCCTCCAGTGCTGTTCCTCTTGCCCTCCTGGGGCACGGAGGCGCTTACGGGGCCAAGAAGGGGCTTCGTTCCTCGTGTAGCGTTCCTGCTTTCAGCGGCCCGACTGCAGCACGAGGCTTGCATATCCGATACAGTACGCGGTCCGATGCGGTCGGCGTCCGGATCCGATGCTGGCCGAGCATTTCCTCTGCTGTGCTCGGTCTTGGCCGAGGATTCCCCGGCCTCCTGTTTCGTAAATGTGTGCGGGGCCTCGAGGAGGAGGAGGAGGAGGAGGAGGAGGAGGAGGAGGAGGAGGAGGAGGAGGGCGCGTCGTGCTGCGAGTGTCCTCCGAAGGAAATGTGAGGGTCCCAGCCGTCCCAGACTCGGAACGCAGCGCTCGGGGCTGAGGGGCAATGCGCTTCCCGGACACACCAAGGGTAATCCAAAGATTGGCGCAGCCTCCGGGCCGTCCTTTCAGATGGGAGATGTTCGGGGGCGTTTGCTTTCGGCCGGGCGTGTCCCCCTACAGGCGGATTTTGAGCAGAACATGAAAAATACCCCAAAAGTATTCAAGCATATTAACATATTCAAACATAGTCCAAACATCGTCCCCGTAATTTTTGTTTGTCTACTTTTGAAGATTCCTCCTGTAGAGGGACAGACCCGACTTAACCTTTGCTTGACCCTGTTCCTGCTGGTGCTGCTGCCGATGCCTTGGGCAGCGATCTGGCAGGGGGACAGGGTCGGCCGAGGCCTCGACGCCAACGGGGAGCGTGATCCCCGCAAGTGGAGAGGAGGGGCAGCAGGCGAATGGACGCCTGCTTTCCCTCCTCCTCCTTCTCCTCCTCCTGCCACCTCAGTGTTGACGCGACCACCGTCGTTGTACGACATGGTCCTGCCTCACAGAGCGAGCTCGTCAGGTGGAAGCGTGTCCCTCAGAAGGATTCTCGGCCGAGCAGTTCCACGACCGTGGTTGGGCTTAGCGGCCGCCGGTGTGCAAGGAGCACCTGCGGCGCCCTCACGGTCAGCACCCTCCGCACCTCTGCTCGAACTCCATCTCTTGTCCTGCATGCGTAACCCCCTCCTCCTCCTCCTCCTCCTCCTCCTCCTCCACCTCCTGCTCCTCCTCCTCCTGCTCCTCCTCCTGCTCCTCCTCCATGCCTCGTCCTTATGAATAACCCCCTCATCCTGGCGCCCCCCGAGGCGTGACGGCAGGGCGGGCCGGGCGTGTCGCCCTTCGCATTCCTCACCGTGGATGATCCCATGTGCTGAGAGAATCTGCAAGCGCTTCGCGGCTGGAGGGCGGGCCGTGTTCACTTTGTGGTCTTCCGTCCTCCCTCCTCGCACTCCTCCTCCTCCCTCCTCCTCCGTCCTCCTCCCTCCCCCTCCGTCCTCCCTCCTCCCTCCTCCCTCCTCGCGCTCCTCCTCCTCCTCCTCCCTCCTCGCGCTCCTCCCCCTCCCTCCTCCTCCGTCCTCCCTCCTCCCTCCTCCCTCCTCGCGCTCCTCTCGGGCATTCGCAGGAGCTTCGCGGATGGGGGGCGGTTCGGTTTCGAAATGTAGTCATCGCCTTAGCTTAGCGCCGCGCGCACTCGCCTTGAACATCTGCAGGAGCTTCACGGATAGAGGGTTGGCTCCTGTTCGAAACGCAGTTTTCGCTTCAGCACGCACATTCGGGCAACAATGTTGCAAGGGTTTCACGGATGGAGGGCGTTTCTTTTTCGAAGTGTGGTGTTCGTTTTAGCGCCGCGCACATTCGTTGTTAAGACTTTACAACCTCTTAATGTAATCTCATGTCTAACATCCGAGAACTGTTGTTTTGGCACGATGTCGGACCGTCAGGGCGCAACAGTTATGTTGAATCGTGGTGCTCAAGTCCCAGGAAAGATGATCTGGCGCGACTCAGGATGGTCAAGACGCAACAGTAAAGGTGACTCGCGGCGTTGAAGTCCAAGGAATGGTGTTTGGCACAGCTCAGGATTTTCAAACAGTTGTCCTCCGACGTGGTACTTCATTCAGTGAGAAGGAGTCCGTGCAGGGAGGGGCATGTTAAGAGGGAACGTGGAGGGAGGTTTCATTGCAAGATGGTTGGTGGGTCTTGGGTTTGCACTGGTCCTCCTCCGCCTCGTCGTCCTACTCCTCCTCCCCATGCTCCCCCGCCCCCCAAGAGGCGCAGCAGTCGCTCGCCGAGGCGGAGGCCTCGCTGAAGAGCAGCTCCGAAAGGATCGCCGGCGGCTCAGAGGGGTCTCCTCGGCGCGCGCGCCTGGCCGCCTCGTGCCCAGTCGCGGCGGCCTCGGCCTCACGGCGGGGGTCCGAGTGGGAGTCTTGGGGGCCTTTCGGGGGCCTCCTGAGGGCCTCCTGGGAGCCTCCTGGGGCCTCCTGGGGCCTCCTGGGGGCATCGGGGGGCGGAGAGCTCAAACTGTTAACTCGGGCGCCCCCTCTTGGGCCCACTTGGGGGCAGTCTTGGGGCTCTCCTGGGATCCTTTGGGTGGGTCTGGGGCGCGTCTTGGGCCGTCTTGGGGCCTCTTGGGCCGTCTTGGGGCCCTCTTGGGGGCCTGATGGGTCGTCTTGCGCCGATACTGGGGCCACTTCAGCCATCTTGAACCCAGTGAGGCCAAAAAATCGATGATGCCCAAAAATGCGACCGTCGTTAGAGCGCCGACTCGCATCCTTTCGATCAGGATGCCAGAGATTGCGGCCTGTCTGAAGGACACTCCAGGAGCAGGAAGATGTTCTCACGAGAAAGGTACACGCGCTACCCGTCTCGGAAAGGACGGCGCCAAGTTTCCCACCTCGGGGACAAGAGGTTTATCCTTCGGGCCTCTGCGAGGCCATCGCCCGAGCTGTGCCTGACTCCGTGGCCCAGTTCGTGGCTACAGAGAGCGAGCCAGCGGACTTCGATTTGCCTCGTGACCATACCGACGTGCTGGGCTCGCTTCTCGACTTGTCCGTTCCGTGGAGCTTCTCGTTTCTTCGTTCCCTCGGACTTCGGTGCGAGGCTTCAGAAGACCCAGAAGCGCGCCGATCCCGAGCTGCACATAATATTCCAGCTGGAGTCGAGTCAGCAGTCTGAAACTGTTCCCTTCGGACCTGACGTCGAGGCCGCTGATGAGCAGCAATTCATCGAGCATTCTACCTCGGCCGAGGAAGAGGATGCAGTAGCCATGTTGGCTAGCGGCCATTTAGGCCCCCCCACTCCTTCCCCTTCCTCGCCTCCGACGTTGACGTCGTCCGTCCTTCCGCCTCCCCCTCTTCCTCCCGCCCTGTCGGCGGATCAGCTCGCTCGGATCGAGGCCAATGGAGCTCGTGCCAGGGCGATTCGAGAGGCTCCACCTGCCGTGGACAGCAGGAGGCACCTTACGCCGGTCTTTCTTCCCGCAGGCAGGGGGTCCTGTTTCGACAGCGGCGCAGCAGGACTCGGCTTCTGCCGCCGCCGCTGCTGTCGCCGCTGCCTTTTTACAGCGTGAGGCCTCGGCGGTGGCGTGAGCGGTATGCGCGCCGCCCGCCCCGGGCCCGAGGGAACGGAGCACGGCGAACCCCGAGCCCCGCGTTGAACCACAACCGCTCCTCGCCAACTCCTTTCCGTTCCCCCGCCGTTTCCTCCCACCATCCCATCCACCACGGCGTGGTTAGCAGCGAACCCCAGCGAGTTCCGCCAGAGCCAGGGCACACTCCCCGAACGAATCGGCACGCCGGACCCGCCCCCCCCGGGCCCAGCCTATCTAAGTAGGCTCTCCGGGGTGACTGGGGGGCCAGGAGGCCCGGACGCGCACGCGGGCGCATCCCTTTTCGGCGTCGCGTTATGGGGGGGCGATCTTTTTGTGGTCGGCGGGGCGAGAGCGAACCTCTTCCGCTAAAAGCTAGGCGGGCTACGCACAGCTCTAATTGGGGAGACGGGGCACAGGCGGGCGAGGCCTCAGGCGGCCGGAGAGGACGGGGCCCGGGGTGCAGGCGGTGCCGAAGAGCTTGCACAGGAAAAGGTACGCCGATGGGGGGGTGATACATGGGGGGCAGAGAGGGCTGCCGAAAAAGGGGCCCCTGAAAGGGCCCCTCACGGCCCCCAATAGGGCCGGAGAAGTGCATCTTTTTCAAGGGCGCCCTGGAGGGCGCGAAGGTATTCGAGCTTCGCGCTGCGCGCTTCGGCTCCGATGCCTCCCCTTGGAGGCGGCGCGAGAGCGCGAAGTTATCCGCACTTCACGCTTCGCGCAGCGCGAAGCGCGAAGTTGGGAGCCCGCCTTTCTCCCCCCCCCCCCCCCCCCCCCCCTCTAGCGCCCCCACTTAGCGCCCCCCCAATATTCTCCCCCCCGCCATCCAGCGCACCCCTAAGAAGCGACGCCCAGGTTCCCGGTGGGCGCAAGCCCGCTCCCCCCGCCACGCTGGCCCGCAGGCATATCCCCGGGGTGGCGCGCGCTCGCGGCGGGGCGGTGGCAGCACCGAGGCGCAGCGCCAGCAGAGTGAGAGTCTTAAGCCGGGCACGTCCCTCCACAGGAGGAATATTCAAGAATAGTAAGACGAAGAGTCTGGGACGATTTTTCTACACATATATCTATATATAGATATTGTTTAATCGTACTGTTTTGCATGTTCTGTTTTAATTAGCGTGTTTGACTATGTTTCGATGTTCCATCCCAAGCCAGCCTGGAGGAGGACATGCCCTACCTCACGATGGTCCACCTTGCAGTCCCATCCCTCCTCGTCCTCCTCTGCGGCCCTCCTCCTCCCCCCCCCCGGCCCGGGCCCTCCCTGCCCCGCCCCCGGCGATGATGATGATGCTGATGATGACGAAGACGACGATGGTGAGGAGGAGGAGGAGGAGGAGGAGGAGGAGGAGGAGAAGGAGGAGGAGGAGGAGGAGGAGGAGGAGGTGGGGACGACGAGGAGGAGACGACGAGGAGGAGGCGAGGAGGAGGGCCCCCGCGCCCGCCACGCGCCGCGCCGAGGTCGCCCGAGGGCTCCTCGAGGAGACCCCCCGCGCGCCGGCCCGCCGCCCCCTGCGGGGCGCTCTGCCGCGGGGCCGCGGCCGCGGAGCAGCGCGCCCCCGCCGAGCACCCCTACGGCGAAGTCGGGCCTGCCCCTCTACCCAGAGCCCCGAATCATCAGGGGTAACTCGGGTCAGGGCCAACTCGGGTTCGTGTTTCGAGAGCCCGAACCCGAGTTACCCCGGACCCGAGTTACCCCGGATAATTCGGGCATCCAGAGCCCCGAATCATCAGGGATAACTCGGGTCAGGGCTAACTCGGGTTCGTGTTTCGGGAATCCAAACCCGAGTTACCCCGGACCCGAGTTACCCCAGATAACTCGGGCGCCCAATCTACAGGGGGAGAGTGCCAAAGTAGTGAAAAGACCTGCTCTGGGGACGAGCTTCGGGCCTTTGGATTACTCAGGGGGGCATTTTTCAGGGGGGTATATGTTTTCTCCTTCCAGATCCCCTCTGTCGGGGGACAGGCCCGACCCAAGCACGTATCTTTTTCTTGTCTCCTCCAGAATCCCCCTGTTGGGGGACACGCCGGACCCAAACCTGCGGTCGGCAGCCGTTGGCCAGCGTGCCGCTCCGCCCGTGCTGGCCCACGCCTCGCGTCGGCGCGACACGCCGGCCCTGTCCCCGTGGCCACGGGCGTCGACGTCCCGGGAGCTTTTCCGGGGCCGCCCGCCCTGCAGAGAGCGGAGCGACGCGCGGTGCACCTGCCAGGGCGGTAGCGCCTCGCCGGGGAGCCTCGAGACGGCAGACATCCCTCAAGAACAGTGTTCTGGGGACGATTTGTTGGACCTTTTTTTTTTTTTTACTTGAAGCGGGGCATTCCAAAATAGTGAAAACATACTCTGGGGACGATGTTTGGACCTTTTCTATCATTCAGGGGGCATTTTGGGGGGATTTTGTTTTCCTCCAAAATCCCCCTTGTAGGGGGACACGCCCGACCGAACCCCTGCGGTCGGCAGCCGTTGGCCAGCGTGCCGCTCCGCCCGTGCTGGCCCACGCCGCGCGTCGGCGCGACCCGCCCTCCCTGTCCCCGTGGCCCCAGGGCGCCGACGTCCCGGGAGCTTTTCCAGGGCCGCCCGCCCCGCACAGAGCGGAGCGACACGCCGCGCACCCGCCAGGCGTAGCGCCTCGGCGGGGCCACCGCAGCGACGACGACGACGACGACGACGACGACGACGACGACGACGACGACGGCGAGGACAACGACTGACGGCGACGATGACGGACGATGGAGAATGGACGACGGAGGACGGACGACGACAACAACGCCGACGACGGCGACGACGACGACGACGGCGGCGGCGGCGGCGACGGGGGTCAATGCAAACGGGGGTCAGCCACGGCACCGGATCCTGCAGGATCTTGCGAAGACCCCCTCTGGCTCTGACCCGGGTCAGCGAGCCGCTCGTGGCCGCGAGGCGGCCGCACATGTTGGCGGACCCGGGTTTGCGAAGACCTGCGTTGCAGTTTTTTTCTTGCATTGCAGTTTCTGGTTTCCTGTTGACCCGGGTCTGGACTGACCCAGGTCAGAAGATCCCCGACGCCAGGCAAGTTCCCCCGGCCGTGATGGCAGCCAAGGTGAAGAGACGAGCCCAGGAGTGGGAGGCCGGACACAGGGGGCACAGGAACCGTTTTAGGTGAAGAGAAAGCTCATCTCTTCACTAAAGCCGCCTAAAACCTCAAGCTCATCTCTTCACTAAAGCTTCTGGTTTTGGAGCTTCCCAGGTGATGGTAGTTAAGGTGAAGAGATGAGCTTAGGAGTGGGAGGTCGGATATGGGGGACACAGGGGTGGGAGCACGGCCGTGTGCACCTTCGTGCATTGTTGTGCCAGGGGTCGTGGGTGTCCAGGCCGACCATGCAGGCTGCAGTGGGGCGACGGCGCGAGTCCTGCAAGCACTGTGGGGCAGTCTCGGGCGAAGCGGCTGCCGTGCCGGACCGCTGCCGACCGCTTCTTGAGGCGCATTCTTACCTACGGTGCTTCGGGTTGGCTTGCATGGCTTGGGTGCTTGTCGGGAAGCCATTGCTTTCGCGACATGCTATTAATAAATGTGGGAAAATTGCTTCCCGACTGGAGCCCTGTAGCGACATGCCATTGGGGAAAAAATAAGCAGCAGTGAGAACAACCAACATATGCTTGCGTCGTGACCAACAAAAGCTCACGGCTGCATCTGGGGGGCCCGCGCCGGACGTCGGGACCGCGAAAGCACGAGTCGGGATGGAACACCGAGCCCGCGGAGCGGGCCTGGACTTCGAGAGTCAAGATTCAGGAGGGACAAAACACACACAGACACAATGAATCGTCGCCTCCCCGGAAAAGATGGGCAAATATGGGCAATGGGTGGGGGAAACCCCCCCCCCCCCCCCCCCAAAAAAAAAAAAAAAACAGGAAAAGATAGGGAATATCTTTATTGGTGCGTATTTATTCGTGTGTCCCGGGGCCCCTTCAAAGCTGTCGGACGTCTGGGAGCGCAGCTCCGCGTGCGCCGGCCGCGCCCTCGACGCCCCGTCGGCCCTCCGCGCCCGATCCTATCCGAGCCTCGCCCGCCCTCGGCATGGGCGGCGCCGCGGCCGCGCCGGGGCGGGGTGCGAGCCCGGGGGGGCGAGTGAGGGGAAGCGGGCCTTCTTGACGAACGAGCAACACACACCCATACCCAAAGGGGAGTCGTTGAGAGGAGGACTGGCTATGGGGATGGGTGCGGGTTGTCGGACCCTGGGGAACGCTCCCGTGCGAGCGGGGAAACCCCATCCGACAACACGCACCCGTAGCCCTCTCCAACTCCCTCTGGGTATGGGTGTGTGTTGTTGGTTCGTCACCCTCTCGGAAGGCTCGGAAGTCCTCCGGCCTTCGGGGAAGTTTAGGGGAACGGAGAATGGCATGAGCATGAAAACGCGGAGGCCCGCGCGGATATTTCTCGGATCGCCGCTGGACCCCCCTCCCCAGCGCGCGGAGCGCGCCAGGGGCGGCGCCGGAGGCGCCGCCAGGGGGGTCCAGCGCGGAATCCGCGCTGGACCCGCGCCGCGGATCCGAGAAATCCGCGCGGACTTGCGAGTTTTTATGTGTATGTCATTCTTCGTTCCCCTAAATTGTCTGAGTCAGCCGCACCGTAACGGGTATCTACTAACGGGTTCCTTCGAGATTTGCCGGAAGTTGCCACTTTAGGGCCTCGTTCTGGCATTGCAGCGTTGTCCACATTGGGGAGGGTTGGGTTCGCCGGGTCTGTGGCCAAAGTACCCGTTAGTGGAGTCCCTGTTAGAGGGGCGCTGACTGAGCCTTCCCCGAAGACACAACCACTCTTCGGGAGGTGCGGTGGCCTCGGAGAAGCCCCGCCGCCCTATGAGAGGGCCTTCTCCTTTCTCACTGCCCCCCCCCCCGGCCCTCCCCGCCGACGCAGGCGGAGGCGGAGGAGGGGGCAGGCGGAGGCGGAGGAGGAGGAGGCGGAGGAGGAGGCGGAGGCGGAGGCGGAGGAAGAGGAGGAGGAGGAGGCGGAGGCGGAGGAGGAGGCGGAGGAGGAGGCGGAGGAGGAGGAGGAGGCGGAGGAGGAGGAGAGAGGTGACGCCAGGGAGTGGGCAAGGCCAGGGGGCTGCCGAGGGTGGCTGCGAGGCGCCGGGGCCCTCCCTGGCGGTGTCGGGCCTCGGGCCGGGGGTCTCCCGACTCCTGCCCTCGCCCGTGCGTGCAGCCTTCCCCGGCGCCTGGTCGGAAGAGGCGCGCCGTCGGCGGCGGCTGGCGCCAGGGCCTGTGGTGCCTGCCTGGCTGCTGCGCGGCGGCGGACGAGGGGGGGGCCTTCCAAAATAGGATGTTAGGTAAAACTGATGGATCTGCCCGTTTCCAGAATTGGCGCGGGCTTCCACTTGCGTTCCCCTTGCTCCTGCCCTTGCCTCCTTGCTTGCCCTTTCCCGCTTCTTCCCCTCTCTCCGCCGCTTGGCGGCTCAAGCCTTTTCAAAGGCTCAAGCCTTTTTCAAAGGGCGTACACAAGGCCTTCCAATAGGCCTACAAGAGGCGTGCAAAGCGAGCAGGAGCGGGACGTCGAGAGGCTTCCAGGAGGCCACACGGGCAGGGGCAGCGAAGGACCCCCCGTGATTTGTGGTACGTTATCTGCTCCTGGCTCGAGGGGTCTGGGGTTCAGGCTCGGCGGCGGGCGAGGGGGGGAAGCGAGGAGGAACAGGCCTTCGCAGAAGGCGGCGGGACGTCTCAGCAGCCCACCAGCCTTCTGAGAGATGTCCTGTGTCTTCGAGGAGGGCTCCGGAAGCTGTTCATAAGGCCAGGGGACTGCCGAACATTCTGGGGAGGCCCGCCCCATCTCGCTTCCCCCCGGGCTCGCCGCCGATGAGGTCTCTGGTATCTCCACGGCGAGGTGCAGCCCTGCCCACTTCGCCTGGCGTCTGCCAGGCGAGGCGGATTCAGCCAGCCTGCAGGCAGGGGGCGGTGAGGAGAGGAGGAGGGAAGCGGAGGGAGGACACCGCCTGAGTGGCGAAGGCGAATTTCACCTCCGCTTCCTCTTTGTCGTCCACCTCGTTCCACTGCCCCGCTCACCAGTCCTCTAGATTGGAAGCAGTAGAGGCGGGCGGAGCTTCGACTCCGACCGCTCCGCAGATCACTGAAAAGCTTTGCCCACATCCCTGTCCGCGCACCCCGCCCCCTGGCTGGTGGAGGAGGGAGCAGGAACAGCAGGAGGAGGAGGAGGAGGAGGAGGAGGAGGAGAAGGAGCAGGAGGAGCAGGAGGAGGAGGGGGGATCGGAGGAGACGGGGGCAACACTTGGGGGAGATAGGTGCAGGGGGCGACGCGTCGACCCCACATCGCCAGTTCCTCGCCCACAGGGGCCCGATAGTTGGCCCACCCGGGGCGCCCGGCCCAGCCTGGCGGGGGGACGGGCCGTGCCGCAGGAGACGGACCAGCGCGTGAGGGACGCGGAGGCGGCCGTGCAGAAGGCTGCCAGTGCCCCCCCCCCTGCTTCCCCCAGGACGGGCTCTTTCGCCTCGTCGTTCTGTTTCACGTGGCGCCGACTTTGACTGAAACGAACACCGCGCCCGAATGCGCGTGCTAAAAAAGGGAAGCACACGCGCGAGCAACATGTGATAGAATGATAATAGGAGCAGCGCGTGCACAACAGGGGCTAGGGGGGCAAACGAAGACGGGAAAGGGTCGAATAATACACAGATACATCATTGTTGTTCGGAGGTCCGCGCTGATCTCTTAGATCGGCGCTAGAATACCTGGAGGCGCTTCCGGCGCCGCCCTGGGCGCGCTCCGCGAGCGAGAGGAGGGGGGTCCAAAGCCGACCCGAGAAATCCGCCTATGATGTAATTTCTTTGTTTAGCCCCCTGTTTCTCCTCTTACTGTGTTGCAATGGGGCCGCGAAGAATAGCTATCAGAATCGTCTCCCTCGGGAACCCCTTCTCATGGTGAGTCTCCCCTCAAAAATCGTCCCCAGATCTCTCCTCGCCTGCGGCCCTGGACGTGTCACTCGCTGCCTGCTGCCTTAGACGCGTCGCGCCTTGGGCCCCATGGCTCAAAACGAGGTGGTCTGAAATGTTGATCCTCACACTCAGTGACCACATGTTGGAGGCATTTTTAACCCTATTGGGGACTTCTTTGGGCGCTCTTGGGGCCCTTTGGGTTGGTCTGGGAGGTCTCGCGGGGCCTTCTGGGCCTCCACGGCTCAAAAAGTGAAGGGTACTCAATTTAGCGATGGGTACTCAATTTAGCCCCTCCCCCTCGGAGGCTCAAAAATTGTCCCTTGGGGCCCTCCTGGAGCGCTCTTGGGCGTCTCTTTGGCGCTCTTGGGGCCGTGTTGGGGTCCTCTTGGGCCCCCCTTGGGACTCCCTTGGGCCATCTTGGGGTCATGTTTTGCCCGCAGAGGCCTATCGGAAGCGAATACCAAGAAGACAAAACGCATTGAATTGTCCAAAGGTTTTGGAAGGATGTTGGCTTCGAGGAGGGTGCCTAGGAAGGGTCGAAGGGCACTTGGAACCGTCTTGAGGCTGTCTTGGAGCCTTTTTGGAGCCATGTCGGCGGCTATCTTGAGCCATCTATGTTAAGCCATCTTGGAGGCCGTCTTGGGCTGTCGAGGCTCTCTTGGAGCCATCTTGGGCAACCTTGGACCCTTTAAATACCCGCCCCCCCCTCCCAGGCTCAGGGGATGGGGTAGGGGGAGGGGTAAAGCTTCCCTCCCGCCCACAAGCCGTCTTGTTCACTCCCACTCGCCCTCCCAACACGTACGAAACACCCTGGAGCCAGCATATCGCATAAGAACGCCGCAGACGCCACGGGTTCCAGATGCACCAGACCTTGGATGCCCAAGCGTGCCAGGTGCCCCAGGTGCGGCACGTGCTCCACGTGCACCCAGTGTTCCAAGTGCTCCAGCCGCGCCATGTGCGCCAGCCATTGGGAACCACTAGGGGCTCTTGGGCCCGGCTTTGAGCTTTCTTGGCTAATTTTGGAGCCCTGTGGAGGTTTCGAAATCCCATCGGAAACGGTAAGGCGAAAAGGCAGCAGCCACTGATGTGTCAAACCAGTCGGTCGACCACCTGCGCCCAGAAGGCACGTGGAATCTGTCGGCACCCCAGCAGTCCTTGTACTATTCCCATACAATATGGTCGCGGGGCGGCCGCGCATGCTCCAAATGTGGAGGCAGGGTGCGTTTTGTATTGTTTTTTGTCCCGATGGTGGGGGGGGGGCCTGCATGGGGTCGTCATGGTTCGGGGTTGGCCACCGGCCGGGTGGGGGAGGGGGTGTAGATTAATAGGGAACAGTGATCAAGACATCTCTCCCGCCCTCAAGCCGTCTCGCTCACTCCCACCCGCCCTCCCGCACAGGAGTAGCGCCCGAGCCGCAGCGTGTTCAGCAGTTGTGATGGACAACGCGTGTGAACCAATACCGACCACATGTACGCAACGCTGGGGCGAGTTGCGCCAGGCGTGCTGGGCGCGCCAGGTGCGCCATGCACCCTTGTTGTGTGATGTGCGGTTATATGAATGGTCGTTCGGATCATGAGGAAACGCACTCACAACGCTACCACGCTTGAATGCATCCATCTGGTCTCCTCCCTCTCCTCCCCTTCCGCTTCTCCTTCTCCCCCGTTATTGCGGCTGCTTCTTTGGAGCCGGACTGGGGAAAGTCTGGCTCGCAGCCTATTGCTAGTTGGCGCGTGTTCTTTTCTTCTTCTCGACGACCCGAAATCCTTCACATCAGTAATTTTGGGTCTCGGAGCCCACAGGGCGGTTTTTCATGTTTTCCATTCGACGTTCCATGAAGCCCGATGTCATTCCGAGGCGCGCGTCGAACGTTTTCGATGGCGCGTCGCGTTATGCGACGTCACGTGCGTTGTGGTCGTCAAAGGCTTGCGTGCTTATTGCGGATCGGTTGATGTGGGCTGGGGTTTCTCAGGATTGTACATTTGCTTTGCGCTGGGGCGGTTTCGCCCCCCATCCCTGGCTGATCCACCCCGCGGGTAACGTCGCAGGAAGAGTTCGAACATTTGGTTCGTAGTGCCAGCGATGCTGTCGCGGACATTGACCGCGCCACGGGGGGGGTCGTCCAGAAATTTCCTACCATATTGCAGTGTTGGTTCTTCGTTTTGAAGATACACCGCCCCGCGTCATTCCTTCCGGCCCCTCCCTCGTCCTCCCTCTTCGCGTATTTGCCCCTGCTCTCCGCGTGTCCCCGTCGTCATCGTCCATCGTCATCGTCGCCATCACCATCATCATCAGCATCATCAGCATTCTCGTCGTCTCCATCATCAATACCACCACCATCTTCATCAACATCATCAACACACCCCCCTTGTTCCCCCGCGTCTCTGCTTCGCCACATCCCCCGCAAGTCTCGTGGCCTTGTGAGGTGTTCCACCGAAGGCCCCATCGGCAGGGGTCTTAGTGCGCCGCCCAGCCCATGTCGGCACGCCCCTCAGACGCTTCGTGTCCCCATGAGGAGTGCATCGGAGGTCCCGGCGGCAAGGTCCACATGCCGTCGCCCAGGCCACACTGACACACCCTCAGACATTTCGTGCCCCCATAGGCAGCTCCACCAACAAAAAGGTCCCAGCGGCAGGTTTCCCAGGCCGCCGCCCAGCATATTTCGGCATACGTTTCGCACGTTCCGTGGCCCCACGGGGAGCTGCACCGACGGCCCCACAGGCAGGGCCCACAGGCCGCCGCCCAGCCCATTCCGTCATACGCTCACACGCTTCGTGGCCCCATTGGGGAGCACCCCCGATGGCCCAAGCGACAGGGTCCACATGCCGTCGCCCAGCCCATGTCGTCCACGAGTGGCGCCCAGCACGGCTCCAAAAGCGCCCCAAGAGGCGCCGAGTAAGTTGCACCCTCATGCAAATAGTTTTTGTCACTTGTGGGGGTCCTCTTGGGGCCCTCTTGGAGCATTCTTGGGGCCCTCTGGGAGCGTTCTTGGGGCCTTCCCGGGGCCCCAGTGGGCCCCCGGAGGGCCCCGAGAACGTTCCCCGAGGGCCCCAAGAGGGACCCCCCAAAGTGGTACAAAGAATTCGCGCGAACGTGCAATCTGTTGTAGGCCTTTCGGGGCCCTCTGGGAGCTCTCTTGGGGCCCCCATTGGTGGCGCCTTGGGGCCTTGGGATGGCTCCAAGAGGCTTCGGGATTGCCCCAGACCGCCACAAGACAGCTCCGAGACGGCCGTCGAGCACCACGGGTGAAAGCAAGTGAGGCTAGGGAACAGGGCCTCTGGTAAGCCGCCACTGCGCCCCCTGGACTACCCAGACAGCGAGGGGACCTGAAACGCCCTGGGGCTCCAGGGGCCCCAGATTAGTGAAGTGAAGGTTTTTGCCATGCAAGCACCCCGAAATTCTTCACTTCACTAAACCGGACCCAGGACGAACTCGCTACGCTCCAGTCCCGCGGGAGATCCGAGACTCCCGCCGCCGCCCGGGGACGCTGCTGCATTGCGGTGCTCTGGTCACTGTTAATGGCTTCCGCGGGCTGCAGCGGCTCACTTCCATGACTACCCCGACTCACGAATCCAGTGGTTGGTCTGGCTCTATGGGTTGGTTTCGTTGTGTCGGTTGATTTTATGTTTGGTTGGCGGTCGGTGGATTTCGCGTTGTTCATTGGTGTCGTGAAGTGATTTGTCGTTTGGTTGGTCAGTGCCGTTTTGTTGATTCGTGCCGTTTTGTTGGTTGGTGTCGTTTCGTTGGTTGGTGTCGTTTTGTTGCTTGGTGTCGTTTTGTTGCTTGGTGTCCTTTTGTTGGTCGGTGTCGATTTGTTGGTTTGTTGGTTGGTGTCGGTTTGTTGGTTGGTGTCGTTTTGTTGCTTGGCGTCGTCCTGGCGGCGTGGCCGATAATCGGCGGCCTGCAATGGCGCCAGGATTTGTTTCGGGCCAGCCTTGATCGCCCTCATCATTCTCATATTCGTCAGCGTCAGCACTCGTCGCCCCCATCCGCGCACACATGCGGCCCTGGTACGGCTCTCACGCGGCCCTGCGAAGGCCTTCACTGTGCTCCCCAAAGCTTTCTGAGGGGCCCCCCAGAGGCCCCAAGAGGGCACTGCAAATTGTCGCTTCCAACTCCGCCAGGCGGAGGTCAACAAGGGTCTCACTGGTGCACTTCCAGGAATCGTTGTTCGATCCTCTTGGGGCCCTCCTGGGGCCTTCTGGAGCCGTCTTGGAAGCTCCGAGCGGCTCCATGAAGGCGCCGGTCGATATCGCTTCCAATTCCGCCAGGTGGAGTTAGACCAGGGGCTCACTGAGGCCCCTTTTTGCGCCCTCCTCTGCCTTTGAAAAAGCCCCGATGGGGTTCTTCAGTGCCGTCTTAGGGCCCCTAAGAGGCCTCCAGTAGGGTATTGAAGTTATCGCTTCCAACTCCGCCACGCGGAGTTGAACCCAGGGCGGCTCTCTATGGCCCTTTCGGGGCCTTCTTAGAGCTTTTCTGAGGCCCTAAGTGGGCCCTGGGAGGTGTCATTTTCACGGGCGTTGAAAGTGACACCGCGGAGGGCCCTCTTGGGCCCTTCTTGGGGCCTCTCTTGGGTCCCTCTGGGAGCCCTCTTGGTGCCGCCCTGGGGCCTTCTCGGGGCCTTCTTGGAGCCTTTCTGGTGCTCTTTAAGTGGGCCCTGGGAGGTGTCACTTTCAGGGGCACTGAAAGTGACACCTCGAAGGGCCCGCTTTCCCTCGTAGCGCTGCCCGTGGCCGGGGCATTGTGCAGCGCATCCCTCGTCGAACGCATTTTGTCGGACGCGTGGTCGAATTCCGCCAGTTCGGTCGAGATGGTGGTCAAGCGGTTCGGTTGCAATGTAGCCATGCGGATCTGAGCTTACCATTTCTTGCCATTTTGGCGGGGGCTCGCAGGAGCGTTTGTGTTGTGATCAACTGTGCTCGATATATCCAGCGGCAGGGTTTCATCCCAATATATTATTTTGAAAAAGTCAGCAGGGGCCAAATTGGTGATGTGAAGCAACATAGGTCTCGTATTCCTCCTCCTCCTCCTCCTCCTCCTCCTCCTCCTCCTCCTCCTCTTCGTCCTCCTGCTCCTCCTACCTCCTCGCCTCCCCCATGTGCCGGAGTCTGTGGCTATTGCTGGTTCTTGCTTCCATCGCCCCGTCCCGCGCACGACGCTTAACTGTGCGAATTGTCATCAGTTGTGAAATGGTCATTGCCATCGGCCCGCTGGAAGAAAAAACAGGTGCGCCAGGCACCCCTGTGGCCCAAGCGTGCCGGGCACGCCTGGTGCGCCAGATGCGCCGCGTGATCCACGTGCGCCGCGTGTGCCGCACGCTCCAGCCGCGCCAGGTGCGCCACGCTCGGGGCACGCGCAGCATATGCCAGGTGCACCTGCGCACGCGGCAGTACACATCGGGAAGCATGTCGGCCCCTACCACCCTTGTCGAAAACCAGTGCGCAATCGGGTCGGGGTGGCCACCGCCGCGTCTGGTGGGCCTGCACCTAGCAGGCAATATGCAAGCACCCCCGCCGTCCGAGCCAAGTCAGGAGGAAAAGAAACACACAGACACAATTTCATCGTCGATTCCGTGGAAAATATGGGAAAACATGGGAAGTGGGGGGGAAGACAAAACCCCAGAAAATATGAGAAAATATGGAGCATCCTGTTATTTCCGTGTATTTCTTTGTGTGTCCCAGGGCCCCTTCATCAAGAGCCTATGCGCAGCGATCGCTGGGTGCCCGCGCATGATCCAGATGCTGCCTCGCAGTGGTTTCCGCATTTGTTCTTGTGGCAGGGGTGCTGGCCCTGCGCGCAGCTGGCGGTGTGCGGGCACCCCCGCCGCCCCCGTCAAGACATAACGCTGGGTGCTCGCTGCCCCCCCCCCCCCCCGAGCATGACCCAAGCTTTGGCCCCAGAGAGGAGTGCACATTGTTTCTTCACAGGGATGATGGGGGGGGGGCCTCATTGGTCCTGCTTGGCGACTGGTCGCCTGGGGGAGGGAGGTTCACTAGTTGGGGGACCGTGGGAAACCCCTCAAACCCCTCCCCCGAGCAGGGGGGGGGAGGGGGAGAGAAGACGAAGCTCGTTGAGCCGCCTGCGCCCAGAGGGCTGGTGGGGCTCAAGGACCTTCCGACTCGGGCCCCCCTTCTTCGTGGCGGCAGCGGCCGTTTCGAGCGAGGAGCGCTTCCGGCAACACCGCGGGGGGGCGGAATGCAGGAGGAGCCGGTCTGCGGGATGAGAGGTCTGCAGGACGTCCCGCGAGGGCGTCGAAGAGGCACGGCAGGTTCGCGTCGTGTCGACTCGCGGCGACCCCGCCGCCGGCGTTCAACGTTAAACGCCGCTGGCGACCCAGAATCGGTCGATGTTCGATGCTGAATGGCCTGGTGTGTCGGCAACGGCCGATCGTTCAAGGTTGAATGGTCCCCGCGGTGTCAGATGCCAACGCCAAAGTCGGCACGACACGAACCTGCCTCTAGGCCTCCTAGATGGGGTCGGAGTAGATGGGGTCGGAGGATCGCGTCGCATCGCCGATGCATCGGCGATGCATCGGCGATGCGGCTCGATGTGGAGCCCGATGTTTTCCACGCCGACGTCGCCGATGCATCGTCGACGTCGCCAGTGCACCGCCGATGCATCGGCGATGCGGCCAGATCCCTCGACCCAATGGACTCCGACCCCATCCAAGTGGCCTCTATTGCCGTACAGTGGAGGACGCCCTGTTTGCCTCCAGGGTGCCGTGGGCTTCTCGGGTTTCGATGGTTTTGCTGTAGGAAGCGGGACGTTCAGCATGAGCGTCCTGGGGCCCGATGGGGGACGCCCTGTTTGCCTCCAGGGTGCCGTGGGCTTCTCGCGTCTCGATGGTTCTGCCGTGGGAAGCGGGGCGTTCCAAATGAGGGGTTGGGTTTCTCGTGGACGGCTTCTCGTGGACCGGCCTCCACCTGCACCACCTGGCTGCTGCACTGCACCTCCTCCTCCTCCTCCTCCTCCTCCTCTCCTCCTCCTCCTCCTCCTCCTCCTCCTCCTCCTCCTCCTCCTCCTCCTCCTCCTCCTCCCCCTCGTCCTCCTCCTCCTCCTAGCCCCTTTGAGGTGCCGGGTGCGCCGAGGGGCGGGCCTTTGGGCGCGTGGCGGCGGCCCGCCCCGGCGCCCCCGGCCAGCAGGCCCAGGCCGCACCTCCGGGCACGGCCCAGGCGTTTCCGACGCGGCGCTGCCTCCCGAGCCTTGCGTCCGTCGGCGGCGAGGCCAGCGGGGGGGAAGGCGAGAAGGAACGAGGAAACGTAAGACTCGAGTGTGCCGGAACTCGGGTTCGCCGGAGTTTTTTGACGAGCGCGCCCTGGATTTTGACGGTGCGGTTTTCGTGGGATGTCTGCAGCGGGAGTTCGCGTCAAACTTCAGATTGGGTCTCGTCATTGTCATGATGGCCCCGTCAGGCCAACCCGAGTCCCGCGTACCCGAGTCTTACGTCTCCCCGAAAGGAGGAGGCCTCCCCAGAAGGCTCGGAGGTCCCCCGGCCTCCTGGGAGGTTTTCTCTCCACGCCGTCCCCGAAGGCACAGGAAGCTTCTCAGAAGGCGCGAGGGGCGTCTGGGAAGTCCCGCCGCCTTCCGAGAAGGCTTTCTCCTTCTCACTTCCCCCCCTCGCCCGCCAACGAGTCTGAACCCCAGACTCCCTCGAGTCAGGATCAAGAACATACAAACATGATGGGAGTTCTTTCGCTGTCGCTGTTTGTGGCCTTTCGGGGGCCCTCACCAGTGCAGGAATCGGGGCCGTGCAAAAACGACTCGACAGGAGGAAAAGCGGGTCCTGGGGAATGGGGCGATTTTTTTCAGGGGTCGACGACGTAGTGAAGAAAGATCGTGACGTCACGGGTCCTGGAAATCGCCTGCGTGCCTTCCTCTCTGCTGCGCACCCCGCTGCGCCCGCCGTCCAGGACGCCCCTCCCGTCGCCCCTCCATCGTGCGCTGCAGCGTCGCGCTGCTGCTGCGACCAGCCGCGTGGCTGGATCACCTCAGGCATGCGACCTCTGGGCCGTGTCTGGAGGAGGAAAAGACAAGGCGGTGGTGGTGGATCGGCCACACGCTGAGGGGGGTAGGGGGAGGGGGGAAGGCGTCTGAGAGGCAAGACCCGATCTCGAGTCGAGTCGGGACGACTCGTTGGCGATCCGATCTGTCTGCGATCCGAGGTCGCTCTGCCCCGCGACCCTGCTTCTCGGAGGGCGCGGGACTGGTGCGTAGATGTGGGGCTGGCGCCTCGACAGGAGCGGCCCCCTTCCAGGCAGCCTTCCCCCCGCCCCCCCACGCCCCCTTCTGCGCGCCGCCGAGTGGTGCCCCCGTCCGCCAGCGGGCGGCGCTCCTCGGTGGCTGCCCCGCCCCGCCAGGCGGCGAACATCGCCGGGTTCCTGCCGGAGCAGGCGCTCGACGACGAGGACGGCGCCCCCGCGGCCGCGCCGAATGGAGGGCGCCGAGGAGCAGAGGAGGAGGGGCTGCCGCTGCCGCGGCCCGCTGCCGCGGCCCTCGCTGCCGCGGCTGGGTTCGCCGCGGCGTCATGCTCGGCATGCGCCCAGGGGAGAGGTCCAGGGAGCAGCGGTCTCTGTGTCTTTTTGCCCCCTCAGAGGAGGAGAAGGCTGAGGATTGCGGAGGGCGGATCAGGAGGGACAAAAAACACGGACACAATCAATCGTCGATTCCCGAGAAAATATTGGACTATATATGAAGTAGGAGGGAAGACAAGAACCCAGAACGCATGGACAGACAAGGGGAATCCTGTCATTTGTGTCTATTCGTTTGTGTGTCCCAGGGCCCCTTCAGAGGCGAGGGCGGAGGAGAGATGAACCAACTTGGTAACTGCCTCTTGCAATGGGGGCCCGATCCCGGACGGTGAAGGGTGCACTCCACCGCTCGTGGGCAGGGCCGCCACCCGTCGCCAGGAGGCCTGCCGCAGGCAACTCGAGTCGCAAGGAAGAGCAGGCGAGCGAGCTGGTGCCCTTTGGGGTGTAGTCCGTCGGCGGGGGGAGTCCTAGGCAGCATGATCATCCATCCTGTCTTCCTCTTCGCCCTCGTCCTCCCGCTCGGGCGTCTTGCCTCTCCGCCTTGTCCCCCCCCAGAGGTGCAGCTCCACTGGGTGTGACCCCCCGCGCAGCCTTGCGGCGGCGCGGGCAGAGATCTTTGGGGGGCGCAGCCCGCGCTAGTGCCCCCAGGATGTGGGTCCCGCGCGTCCACGCGCTCCATGGTGGGATCCCACGCTGCTCCCAGACGCCTGGACCTCGCCGATGCTGCGCAGACCTCCCGCCCGAAACTCCCGCCCGCGCACGCGTGCCCACGCTCGCGGCGAGTCGACGCTCCTGGAACCTCAGCAGGACCCCCGGCCAGCCGCAGCGCGAGACGCCCGCCGATCCGAGGCAGGCGGAGGCGACCTTCGCGCGTGAAAGCCCTCGTCCGCGCGCGCCATCCCCCGCCGCGCAGCGGCCCCGGCCGTTGAGCGAGACCCTCACCAGCCCGTCGCGGGGCGGGACCCCCCGCGGGTGCGGCGCGTGGCGCCTCCCCCCTTCGGAGGGGGCCGAATTGGGGGGAGAGCCGAAGGAGGAAATTCCCCCTTCTTGCAACTGCAAGGCCGGTGTTGGGGGGACTGGGACACGGTCGGCGCGAGCTTAGGGAGCATCCCCCCCCCCGCAGTCTTGACGAGGGGATGCGGAGCGTGCGCACGCGTTATGGCGTCTCTCTCTGTGCTTCTTCCTTTCCTCCGCTCTTCTTCCCGGGCAGAGAGTTGAGAGCGAGAAGGTGAACGTGTGTCCTTCCACCATGGTATGGCCCAGTCTGACAGCCCGTTCGGTGCGCTCTGCTGGGGCACCGCTTCTACCTACTGGCCTTCGGCCCATCCCGTCACCGTGCCTGGATTGTGAGCCATAGGCCTCTGGGATGTCCGTTGGGATGTCGCGTGAGGTCTCTTGGTGGCCGTTTCGGCGCCTTGGGCATCTCCAGGGCCCCTTGGGGGGTCTCCTGGTGCCTTTTTGGAGCCTCTGGGGGCCTCCTGGGGGCCTCTTGGGGCAGAAGGCTCGGATTTGTGGTTCGCGCTTCCCCTCTTGGGCCCTTCTTCGGGTTGTCTTCGGGTCGTATTGGGCGTCTCTGGGGCCGTCTTGGAGCCCTCCTGGGCCCTGTTGGGACATTCCTGGGGGCCACTTGGGGCGGTCTTGGGGGCCCCGTCGGCCGTGTTGGAGCGTCGGAAGCTCGCATCGAAACGTGGAGCACCGCAGGGGAACTCGCTGATTTGGGCCTGGGGCCCTCTTGGAAATGCTCCTGCTGGGGGCTCTCTTGGGGCGTCTCGAATGCTCCGTGGGCCGTGTTGGGACCATCACGCCCGTATTTCACCGAGCGCGTTCCACTACTCGCCCAGTGCCTATTCGCAAACGCCCCAAAAAACGCATCGCCTGCTTCGACGTAACATATCGTGAATCCTCGCGGCGGATCCAGGCCATTTGCGAGTAGTCACTGTGCGAGTAGTGGAACGCGCCTGTCTAGTATTGGACCGATCGTGCGGCGATCCGGGGCCCTCTTGGCCTCGGGGCTCAAGAGACGGGGGTCCATGAAAACGGGGGTCAGCCAGAGCGCCCGGCCTTGCAGGATCCTGCAGGGCCAGGGTTGCATCGACCCGGGCTTGGGTGCAGGATCTCGCAGGATTCTGCAAGGCCTGATCGACGGGTCTGGACTGACCCGGGTCAGAAGATCCCGAGACCCGACCCCGTGCCCCACCCGGCACCCCGTCCACCCCCCTCCCCCGTTTCTCCTCGTCCTCGGCCTTCTCCTCCCCATCCCAGGATCCGGGGGGAAGAGGATGTAACAATAGCGAGACAAGCGGACGAAATCGGAAGAGTCGTATGCACATCACTGAATGAGTCGAAGGATCACGAGCATAGATGACAATAACAAGACAAACGGACGAAATCAGAAGAGTTGTTTGCACATCACTGGAACGCAAGAGGTCTGACATCTCAACGCAACATTCAAAGAACCACTGGGCGCGCAAATTGATCCAGCCCCTGTGATGGCCGCATCTGCCATCCTACCGTCCTTTGCTCCTGTGCACTTCCTTCTGCACCGACATGTTTTCCCGAAGAGGTGCCGAACCTGGTTGGTTCTTAAGTCGGGGATGGAACAACTGCATAAACATAAATGTTCGCCGAACCTCCTTGGAATTCCTGGACCTGCGCTGGGACTCCCTAGCGACGCTTCCGGCGCCCCCTCTCCGCAATCCTCCTCCCGCGGCCGCGGGTGATCAAACGAACGCAGGAGGAGGAATAGAACATCAGTTTCCGCAAGGTTGCAAAATAAAACGCCAGGGGACAGACGATTAAAACAACAGTTTCCGGCGGCTGAATTCTATTAGTCTGCCCCACTCATTGATTTTGGGGCCCCCGGGACGGAGGGGTGGGGGGGGGGCATTTTCTTAATTGTTTGCCCCCGTTAAGCTTGGCTGGCGCAGCAGAACAAGGCACAGCACGAGGAAGGGGCCCAAAAGGGTACAGAGTACGCGCCACATTCCGCCTCCGCCTCCTCCTCCTCCTCCTCCTCCTCCTCCTCCCCGTGCCCCTCCGCCCTTCTTGCGCCCGCCTTCCCCCCCACCTCCTTCGTCAGGATGCAGCTCCTGGGAGTTGTGGAGCATCGGCGCTGGCATGCCCGTGGCCGAACACCGGCCCCCAACTCCGGCATCGTCCCTTCTTCACTCCGCCCGATCCCGCGCAGTCCGGGCTAGCCCCGGGCACATCCCCGCCGAATCGCTCGGCCCGGCGGGCCCGGTAGAGTCGGGCTCGATGGCCCTTACGCGAAGAAGCAGCAAAAAGATAAACTTACCTTTTCGGCGCTCCGCTCGGATTTCTCGGATCCGCGCTGGGGCCCCCTGGCGGCGCCGCCCCTGGCGCGCTGCGCGCGCCAAGGAGGGGGGCCCAGCGCAAATACAAGAAATCCGCGCGGACCGTCCCTCTTAGCACCACCCACCAAACCACCCCAACCCAACCCGAAGGCCTCAATTTGCCCTCCATCTCCAGTGGGGAGGGGGGGTCGGGGAGCACTGACAAAAACACGGATGGAACCCTTACCCCCCCCCCCACCCGAAACTCGGGTCTTCGGGTTGGCTTGGGGTGGTCTGGCAGGTGGTCCTCTTGGTCGAGGCCCGCCGGGTCCAGAGGAGCCCCATCCGCTCCTTCTTCCGCGCGTTCCTTGGGCCTGGTATATGAAATTAGTGCGCATGCTCGTTGATCAGCGTCGGCCTCCAAGGCTCCGTCCTCAAACTCAGCGCTCGTCGTGAAATCTCAGGTGGTGGTCAGCGACGACCGCCGCCGTGACGTCCTGCATCGCCGTGCTGCGCTCGCTCGAGGCAGGGGGCGTGGCCGCCCGCAACCGAGGGCGCCTGCATACCGCGCCCGCCTCACCTCCGCAGGCCTCCCGAGGGCTCCGGGCGCCGCCCCCCCCCCGACGCGCGGCGGGCGTGCTCCCCGCGCGCTCCGCGCCGGAGATGCCCGGCCGGCCGCGGCCGCGCGGCCGCGCGGAGCGGCGCCGGCCCCATGCGGGCCGGGCGAAAGGGGGGGATATTGGGGAAGGGGGGGGTACGAAATTTGCGGCATGCAGCTGGTTTCGGCCCCACCGAGGGGCCCATTCCTCGATACATGGCCGCCTCCGGCGCCAGGAGGCGCCGGGAAAATCAGCTGCGTGAGCTGATTCTCAAACCCCCCCTTTGCTATCCCCCCCTTTCGCCCGACCCGACCCATGGGCTCCATGGCCACGGGCCGCTGCCGGGCGCCTTCCCGTCGTCGTCGTCGTCGAGCCGTCGTCTGGTCGCCGCGGGGCGCCTGCGGACCGGGAGGGCCGGGGTGGGTACGGAAAGGTCTGGGCTTGTGATGTTCCAGCCCCTACTTTGCGTTGATCACCAGATGTAGTTTCGAGCAGGAGGGAATGACCGAAACTGGCGGGTTTTCACGTGTCGGGCCCTGGGGGGCGATCCTCGTTCGGCACTGTTTCGATACTTTGCTGGGTGCTCGAAATTGTTTCTGGGACGTGGTCCCGAAGTACGATGGGAGCAACAGAGGTCTAGGCCTGACAGATGGGGTCCGAGTAGAGAGGGGGTCGGAGTACAGCGCCACATCGCCGATGCATCGGCGATGCGGCTCTATGTGGAGCCCGATTCTCTCCATGCCGACGGCGCCGATGCATCAACGACGTCGCTGGTGCATTGTCAATGCATCGGCGATGCATCGGCGATGCGGCGTTTTTTTCTGACCCCATCTACTCGGACCCCATCTAGGAGGTTTCTTAAATACGGGTTACGACGACTCACAGCAAGTAAGTTCCGGTCATTCTGAGCAGGACTCGCTGTCGGTCTCGCCGCCGACTCTGCCCATTTGAGACAGCAGGCCTCCTGCCCAGCAGCGGCCGCTGTCGGCTTTGGGCAACACTTGTTGTTGGGCATCGCCAAGTTCATCAAGGCAACCAGCACAAGGCAACGCCAAGTTCATCAAACGCCAACGAGCATAGCAGCAGCGCGCCTTTCGCATTGAATTGCGCGGCGTTGTCGTTGGCAGTTGACGCATCGCTTGACGGTCCCGTTAGTCGAAGGTTCTTCATGTGGGGGGCGGGGGGCGTTTTTCATGCGTTCATGTGTTCCGTACCCATGGCGGGCATCCAAAGCAGATGATACCGTTGCACGGGGATGTGGTGGTTGAGGGCAAGGAGGGAGAGGAGGAGGAGGAGGAGGAGGAGGAGGAGGAGGAGGAGGAGGAGGAGGAGGAGGAGGAGGAGAAGGAGGAGGACGAGAGGACGAAGAGGAGGAGGAACATGGAGGAGGGAGGAGGAGGAGGAGGAGGAGGAGGAGGAGGAAGAGGCGGGAGAGGAGAGGAGGATCGAGTAACACGACGGACGGTTTTTTTCGTTGTGCTTGGCCTCTGTGGGTCCAGGCCAGGAGCGCCAGAGAACGACTCGGGATGAATCTCAGCGGTCTCGGGGAACGGGTCGAGGCCTCTGGGCATCGACGCTCCGACCAGAATCATGACATCGGGGGCCTGGGAGGAGGAGGAGGAGGAGGAGGAGGAGGAGGAGGAGGAGGAGGAGGAGGAGGAGGAGGAGGAGGAGGAGGAGGAGGAG